ACTAACATGGGATACAACCAATTAGGCTAAAAAATTATTTCTTACCTTGCTGATTACTATGTGTGGGTTTGAGCTGAAACATTTTGGAATATGAGAAGGAAGGTTCAAATGGCACTCATCCCACTTTCAGTAGAAATGTGATAGATTAAGGGTAAAATCTTATGTGTGTCTTGACAGAAAGAAATCCTTGTACTCTCAGCATTTCTCTTTTTTTGATCTAAAGATGCACAGGATTGTACCCTAACTCACTGAGCATATTCTGGTCTATCTTGAGATGCCTTGCTGAGAAAGCATTCTAATGGAGCTGGCCCTGATTTTGCAAAATGTTTGACAAGAAGCATTTTTGAAAAAGACAAAAAAATGTTACCAATAAACTCATGTAAGAAGACCAGAGAGGCGATGTAGCAGGAAAGGCTGAGTAATTCTGCCACTATCATGAGCCAGTGCCATGTCTGAATGGTCAAGGCTACCATCAACAGCTCAGTCAGGATCAGGGAAGTGAAGGAAATTGCAACGATGTGGACAAACTCAGATTCGAACAGCAAGAGTGCACCATACATAATTATGCTGCCTGTAAGTGAGGGAGAGAAGAAGTTGCAGACTTCACCATCAATCAATCAAACAAGCAAGCAATCCAATAGCTATAAAGGGAGACAATGCAAACAACATTTTTTTCAATCTTCTCATCGCCTCTTTCAACCTTCTAGCTGTCCAAATTCAGTGGGAATTCCCAGTGATGTATCACATCACCAGAGACATACATAACATTCTTATTGAGTATAATGTATTCTGTTTAGAGACTGAATATCTCCAGGTCTTATGGAAGAATTAAGTTTCTTCTAGTTTGCAATAAAAGCAGGAATTCTCACCGCTGGTCATAAGATGATTAAGAGCTGCCTTACCAGTGATGACAGCTCCAACAAATAACTTTTATGTATGGAATTGCACAATCTTCTATTAAATTTTATACATAGTGTTTATTTCGTTGTGGCTCACCCCAGCCTTGTAAATAAGCTTACACAAGAAAATATTCTGCAAGAATAGAATGTTTTTCTGCTAAGGTCTGGCAGAAGAGAGAAATGGTTCTTGCAGCAGTGTGAAGAAAAGGGCTTCCCTCTAGCAGCCTCCATAGTTCAGTACTGGTGGAATGGAGAAGGGACAGACTTCGCCACTGCACCCACACCAACTTGCTTATTCTCAAGCATGCAGTTTTTCTCATTGCTCATGGCTACCAGGCTACTGCTTGACTTCAAGGTAGCTATACCCACAGGAAGCACTGACTGGCAGAGGCTTCCTCCTGCATGAACATGCGATGAACAGTTATTTATTCAAGGTGTGATGATTGCAGGGAAAGTTTCAGCTGGTGTCAAGAAGCCCTTGCATGTCCATCACCCACTCGCCACAGTGATGCAAGCAGCATCAGAACAATGACCTTGTCGCCTCTCAGTCTCTGACTTTCGCATGTTGAGCAGCGAGGTCTGACCGGGCTTCCACATGCCTTTAGCCACCAGCAGGCTCTGCCTCATCCGTGGTACAAGTTCCAGTGTCTCCGACATTGTCTTCGGTCTGGTCCTGTGACTGATGTTCTGTGCTCCTCACTTTTACATTCCTGCTTGACTCACTTATCACACTGCCTAATTGTCCCTTGAGCTTTGCTCGCTATCTTGACCACACCTCCCTTAGCCTGATCCTCAATGGACTGCAGCTTTTGAGCTTGAATATTTACTTTTTTATTGCCTTGCTTTTTGGATCACCTCTTTTCTCAGAAGCAGGACAATCTGCATTAGTGCAATATTTCTGTTATAGAACATGGGGAATTTGTACCTTGTTTGGAAACAAAATCTGTGTGTGTGTGTGTGTGTGTGTGTGTGCATCTGTGTTTGCCGCTGCCTCATTTTGTTAGCAAGTTAGGAAAATAGGAAGCTGCCTTAAACTGGGCCAGTTTACATGACATGAGGGTGGCGGATAAACACCTTACAGTGACCTGATAAAGGGGGCATCATATAACCATAACGATTAGTAGTCATTGATAGCCTTATCCTCCATGAATTTGTTTAATCTCCTTTTCAAGCCAACCAGATTTGTGGCCATTATTACAAGCTGTGGTAGAAAATACCTTAGTTTAACTATACATTGCATGAATAAGCAGTATCTCGTTGTATGTTTCCTAAATCTCTCGCTGATCAGCTTCATGGAAAAATGCTGGATTCTAGGGATGTAGATCATACATCTCTGGACATGCATAATTCTATATGGCTTTCTAACAGGCAGCATTATTCTGTTTTACATAGTGCAGACAGCAGAAGGATTAGGTTGACAAACTGGCCGGCCTCAGACTGCCTGGTGAGTACATGGCTGAGGTGGGATTTAAACTTATTTGTGGCTGCAATCCAAAGTATATCTAGCAAGAAACAAGCTCCACTGAACCCAACAGGATGAACATGCAAGTAAATATAGTGAAGACTGGTAAGAGGGAGGAAAGGGGAGAGAAAGGGACTGAGAATCACTTTGCATCTTGCTTCTGGCTGCTCTCAGAATAGCTGCACAGTGTCCCAGATACTCAGCTGTAGACATAACTCATGTCATCAGCATGAGTAATCTGCACTGATGAGTAATCCACAGGCATCACATTATGCTTGTTTTAAGGACAATTCTACTAGTGACTCAAGAACAATCCATAAAACAGAGACCCAGAGAATAACCTTTCCACCATCTGGGTACTAGTCAGTTTTGGGCCATCCCTGATCTTGGGTGATAGATGCAAGCCAAATTGCATGGTGTGAGCCATCAAGAGGTGAAGTCATCTGACCTACAGAATGTAACAGGAGAAAGCGTTTGGCTTTAAAAGCTTTCCCACAATGTGTCACTCTTTCTGACTGCCCAGAAGCTGTGTGTTCTCTATCAAGGCCTTGGTAATGTTCAAGTATTAATTTACCCCTTGAAAAGCAATTGCTGTTACAACATCCTTCTCTGCAACTCTATTGCCTCCCTCCAAAAAGTTTTATACTCCTCCTGGTCTTCTAATTAAAAAAAAGACAATTGTTACTTAAATCTTTAAACTTAGTCTTTAAGAAGAAGATAACTTGAAAGTTGGTGGACAGAGGCTGTGTTTGTTTGTTTTTTGTTTTTGTTTTGCTCTGCTTGCAGAGTGTAGGATGAATGGCAATTCTGGAGGATACTGTAGCCCCACCATTACCCCCTGAGACTGAGCCCCACAACTCTTAGTTGCTAGAACACATACCGAGCACTTCCAGAAAAAGCCAGCCTGAAACTCATGCCTTTTCCTAGGTTCTACTCTAGCCTTCTTCAAACTGGTGCCTTCTAAATGCTTGGAACTACAATTCCCAACATCCTTGGACCATTGGTCAGCTGAAGCAAGGAGAGCTGCAGTTCAAACCAGGTGAGGGAAGGCTGTTCTAAGCTGGGGTGATCAGAAGACAGAACTTAATATGATACAACCGCTAGAAGACCCTGCCAGCAGAGCCAGTGGTGATGAATTGGGGGCTGAAGTCCAAAACAATGGAGATCCACATTTTGCTTACCCATGGCACTCCTTTTCCTTCTCCTGAGAGGTGTGTATGGAAAGTAGTAATGGGGCATGGAAAGAGTGGGCTGTATTGGTTTCCAGTGAAGCCACTACAAAACACCAGAGGTCTTGAACATAGGACCTTAGCAACAGAGGTGAGTACCATTCTTTGTGCAATACTGTAACAGATGGCTAGGTGAAGGCACTGCTGGCTGACTCTCTGCTGCATTGCACTGTCATCAAGGCAGGTGACCAGATGGTTGTATCACAGCCACCTGCTCAGGACAGGTTAGGTGACATAAATGGTCTAACAGGGTATCACTTAGTCTTATAAAGTTGGCTTGGTTCCTAGGGTCTCCACATAGTGCCTGCAACTGCCTCACTAGCTGCCTCTTGATGGTAATCTCATTTCTTTTTCTTTTTAATTAGGTGGGAGGTTGCAATGGTGTGAAGCAAAGTGCTTCTTTCCAGAGCCATCTGTTTTTGGGTTCATAACAGCAGTTTTGTCTTTTAGAGTTCAGAACCCACCACTGCCTAGCATTTAGGGTTTGGAGACCTTCCCATTTCTTCTAGTCCCACCAGTTCGTTTTCTGAGAAATGGGTGTTCTGTAACTATCCATGGGCAAGCTGGCAACCATTTTATTAATTAGTTTATTAATTAACTTGCTCAACATTCCAAATGTGCCAAGCAACCCTGAAACGACTCAGCTGCCCTTACCCGTCCCCCGACCACCAGACCTAACGGCCACGCCACGTGCGCTTTCTGCACATGGAGGATGTGGAATTGCAGCCATTGCCTGCAGAGATCTGAGAAGTCAGAAGAAACTCAGCAGGGCTCCTGGTGACCCAGGAGATGTATGTTGTGTGTGTACAAGATCCTTCCTGCACTTGGTGCCTTCAGATGTGTTGGACTGCAAGTACTGCAATCCCCAGCCGTTGCTGGCTGGGATTTATGGATTTTGCAGTCGACACAACCAGCGTGCCAGGTGGGGAAAGGGTGGCATAGCGTGTGTGTGGGAGGTTGGGAAGGAGAACAGATTAGTGTGTTTGCCACAAGTTCAGAATCCAGAACTTTTTGATGCAAATTTCAAGGCAACTTGATGCAGGTCTCTGGGGAGACAGTCTTTTTTCGTTTGTTTGCTTGTTTTTATTCACAACAGAGTATACATATACAACATGGGGGAAAATAGGAGATGTCTACAGTTCCTTTTAAATAATTCATTCAAAAGTATGCTACAAACAAATGAAGTCCCTTACCTTGGTAGATACTTATCAAAACCCATATCAAAAATGTCTTGTACGATAATGGCCTTCCCTAATAATAAAAGGAGAGAAAAACAAAACCAAAAGACTGATGCATATGATCAAGATCTTAGGCAGCATTTTTTGAAGACCCCAGCCCCTGCAGAAGTCAGGCCGAACCTTTAGAAGATCTTTGTATAGCTCTGGGTACAGCATGGCAACTTCTGATTTGACATCTTTGTCCAGTACCAGAGAAAACACCGGAAACATGGTATAGAGTGTAGAATACCTGGAAACAATAAATTTGAGATCCACTGGTTTCTTCAGTACTTTGCAATGCATATTCTTTTTCCTTGGCAAACCCTCTGCCCACTTATCAAAAGGATACAAGCGGTTGCAAAAGTGAACAGAACGAATGGTCAGTTTTGCCAGTTCCTACGTTTCTCTCCACCACCTTGCAGTCCATGACTGCTTACCACACTGATAGACTGTTTCAGCCCATCCAGGATAAGATCTACAAAAAACGTTCTGTCTCTTCCTGCTAATATCTGCAGCTTCCTATTTCACTATCAGATCTTTTTCCTTTTAAATGATTTTTCAGTGAATATCCCCACTGTATCTGTGTTCCATGTATGTGGATGAATTTCTAATTCTACTACTGGCAAAAGCAGAGAACATGACTCTCAAATTCTGGCTAATCCAAAAGACCACAAGCATTCGCACAACATGCTAAAGTGGAATTTGGTTTACCAGTAAGGAGCTAGATGCTCCCACTGCAAGTCAGAGCTGCTAAAGAAGCTTACCAGGAGGAGGAGTTTAGAGCTACATCCAGATCTAAACTCCTGGCTTTTCTCTGCCCCAACAAGCCAGAATTTGATGCAAGGGTTTGCAGTTGGATTATGGCTTGTTGCTCCTCTAACAAGCCATAAGCTAGCTAGAAATGCTTGTTTCGGATGCTAGACTGGTTTGGACATTTTTTCCACGCTGGCAAACTTCTGGTTTTTCTAGCCAGTCTTACAGGGTGAGCCAAGTGGGAGTAAGCAGACATTATGCAGAGCAGCAGGCTTGTTTGTTGTGAAGAAACCAGAAGTCTGACAAATCCTGTCATTATTTTGAGCAGATACAGCAGTTTCCCTGTCTCCTTACTGAGTATGCTGCATCAAAAAGCACAGCAGGTATGAAAAGTGCATAGGTGGCACTGGTCATGTGCAGTATGTATTATACAGTCCTAAACATTACAATTTAAAGAGATGAAAGTAAATGCTTCAAGAGCCAAAAGACTAAAATGAAATGAAAATCAATGTTATACTTGGATTTTAGAGGAAGCTGTTATCAGATTTGCTCATCAAGAGATGGAACTGGCTCTGTCTCCTTGTAAGGAATATACTTTGAGGCAAGCCTGTGAAACTGCTCAAAGGCACAATGCTTAATTTTATCCTGAGCTCAACAGAGCTCCAACTTTCTCTACCATGCCAGAGCTCAGTTCATAGAGCTACGAATGGGGACACAAACATTTTCACCCTGCAAACAAAGGCTTAAAAAGTATGGCTTTCCTTTTGTTTTATTATTCATTTTAATATTTATATCCTGCTTTTACCTTCCTCAAGAGGAATCCTACAACATATTCAACCATTGCTTCCTGATTCTCAAATAGAAGTTGCTGTAACAGCTGAAATTGGTCCTAATAAAATCCATGTGCTTATCATAGTTGCTGGATTAAAGCTGCTTTGAAAATACTTTGAGCCTTCAAAGTTTCAGCTGTTATTTTGATAACAGCAGCAATAGCAGGAAGGAAAACAGTCGACATTTTAGCCAGTGCCACTCATTGTGGTCAAAGCTCAAACCCAAATGAGCATTTCAATCTAATGCCTGTATGTTTTGAACTTTCTGTTCATATGTTTTGGAGGAATTGTTTGGCTCTTACCCTATAATGAGGAATCCCTGGTAGAGAGGAACCGAAGCGAAGTAGAACACTGAAGAGAAAACAGCCTAGAGAACAAAAGGAATGGCTCTTTAGACTTCAAAGCTACAAAAAGTATCCAGTAATGATGATCAGCTCAGAATTTGAATGCTTTGGCTGGTCATAAACAAGCAAGATCATAAGAACCCACCATCCATGGGCAGAGACTGGCAACACACTCAACTCACTTAGGCCTAGGCAGAGCAGGTTTTTAGGTGGGTTTCAACAATATACAAGACCTGTTTGGCAAGATAAAGGACTATAGGTAAGTGTGCATATGTAGTATCAGACACACCGTGGGAACGTGGAGAGTCTCACATCATCTGAACTCTCCTCGTGCCATCTTACTGATTGTGCCCTCAGTGATCACAAGCCCCTGAAGTCAGAGGAGTTTGAACATCCAGTGCATGGTGGAAGAAGCAGCAGAGAACATCTTTGCCTCTGTCATGCAGAGGTGTTCCGGTGAGATTCCCAGGCACACACAAGAAGCTGGCCATTTTGGTGGAACTGATAGCTCAGAGTCTGAGGATGATGGGGAGATGGCTGAGCCAGGTGAAGCTCAGAACTCACACTCTGATAACAGAATTGTTGTTGTAACAGACAGGCCTGCACCTGCAGACTCCCTCCCACAGTACCAGTCTGAGCTTGCTCTGGATGAAAGTAGCTCAAGGACACCCACAGGGCCCAGCCTCCCTCCTCCCTGTGGGAACGAAGCAGAAGGATAGGAGGGAGGGGATTTGGAAATGGGTAATCTCTCGGATGGAGAATGCCAGCCTCCTGAAGACGTGGACCTGAGGGCCCATCATCACAGCTGCAGGCTGGCCCACTTAGGGGCTTAGAGTGCAGAATGCAGGTGTGCCTGGTCCCATAGCACCCTCCTTCCAGAGACAGGCCCCAAAGGGTTCATAAGCAAAGATTTGGGTAAAGGGGGGCAGAGAAGATACACATCTCTTTGTGTATGCTTAGAGTCTTCGATGCAGAATAAAGATGCTTGCAAGAAGTCTAGAGAGTCTGCCTTGCTTGGGTGGGAATGCCTAGCTCACAACAGCCTCCCCATCCTCCCACTCTGCAGATTTCATTAGGGAGGCTGAAAAGCCTGTCTAGGGAGGGTACTTTGAACAGGGAAGGAATAAGGCTGGAGGAGACTTAACTTTTATCCTAGCTTCTCCAGTCTTCTCCCCTCCCTGTCCATCAGAATACCTCCTTTCTTCTTCCTCCAAGGTTGCTTTTTAGCCTGATTCTTTCCATCATGGATGCCAGGTTGGACCTCCAACTCCCACTTCTAAGGCCAGGGTGCTTCCTCTGATCTTAGAAAGGGGAATATGAGCAATCCTATGGTCCCAGGGATGCTTGTAAAAATTATGGTCTGCCTCCATGGATGGAAGACCCATAGAATGAGCTGAGCCAGATAGTTGTGTTGCATACAGCTGTTTAGTGGACCAAGGGACTACAGGGACAACATACTGGGACTTTCTCATTAGCAGGGTTGATGTTTTCATGTGCCACCCATTGCAAGCCTCTCAATTCCCTCTAAATTTAGCTGTAATCCTCATAGCGGCTGAATGGGGGCAATGGGAAACAATGAATTTTCTTAACAACAATCGATACTTGCAATCCGCCTTCAGGATCCTGAAAGTCTCCAACAACTTCATAGAGCATTTCAACATTGCGTATTTATTTATTTAATCAATCAATCAATCTCTATACTGCCTATTAGCCAGAATGGCTACATGGACACAGAAAAGTCAACCTTTTCCTCTACAATTAGTATAAAGGAAATATTTTAAGATACATAGCATTAGCTTATGTTTAACACATTAATCTTACACATGCATTTCTTCTCAAGAGTGAATCCTATTTATTTCAATGAGGCTTGTTCCTGGGTAAATGCATGTAAGATTTTAGCACAAGATAACTTCAAACTGCTGTTCTCAACTCTTGGCTGCTCTTGCTTTTGCAATATTTCAACTTGCGTTAGAATGTTTTATGGTTTTATACTGTGGGCTATCTAGAGCACCTTCTTTTTAGGTGGAGCATAAATTCAATACCCACTTCCAAGAGGAGCTTTAGAAATGTCCATTTAATTTTTTTAACTTATTGGTATCTTAATTATTTTTGTGGGGGGGAAATACAGAGCGCAATGGCAGTCCCTTTCAGAAGATTCTGGATGAAAAGAACAGCTTCTGTCATATTCCCTAGTTTTAAAAAGATAAACAGAACTCTGCTGGTTCAGGCCAACGGCTGTCTAGTCCAGGATTTGGTTTGTGCAGTGGCCAAGCAGATGCTTATGGGAAGCCCACAGCAGTACAGGAATCCAACAATATCCCCCCTCTAATGTTTCATAGAAACAGATAAATATTTTCATAAGGCTAAAGCCAAATCAGATCCAAAATAAACAAACTGAAGGCTAATCAATACTTTGAAAGACATTGGAAAGTTTTGATATTGACAGTGATTTTCTGCTGAATGCTTCAGCCTGTGGCTCTTATCAGAAGCTGAATTACAGCAATTCCTTCCCCAATCCTCTGGCAAAATAACTAGATTTTCATATAAAAATGTACAGAAGACTACCTGTAAGCTTCTTTTTTCAACAAAAGTCACATAGGAAAGACGCACTGTGGGTAACTTTGAGACTTTGCAGATCACCCACCAACTGACTGACTAATAGGGGTATGTACTAATTAGATGTTTAATTGGATTACTTCTTTCATTGCATAAAGATCACAGTGCCAATAAAATTAATCTAGATTTTCAGCCCTGGCAGAAACAAAATGCCACCTGCGAAAACAGAGCCTTTCTTCTGTGTGTCAATCTTCTTTTTCCTGCACTGAATAAGCAGGGCTGGGCAAAGGTACAGTGTCATTACTTACTTGCATTGTACTGATGCACAAGCTTCTGTGGATCACAAACTGGCTGAGAGCTGCAGATCTTTTGTAGCTGTTCCGTCCATGCACCATTAGCAGCCGGCCAAGATGCTTAAACTGAGTGATGGAGAAGTCTGCTGCAAGAGAAGCTTGTTTTCCTTCCTAGAAACACCAGGAAAAAATAATTAAAATGGATGCCCTATCAAGAGACGCAAAGGTAGTCTATTCGAGTTCTGTAATATCTAGACTCATTATATCAGCATCCATGATGACTATGATTGGATGAAGACTTGCCTCATATACCTTCAATGTAAGAGTTCACAATGTAAGAGTTGTAAAATTTAGAAGAAGGGCCTTCAGTATTGGCTTCGGAACAACTGACGTTGAGAAATGAGCTATCTCATGCTCTTCTGCAAAAGTCCTGAAAGAGGCTTTTAAAAAGGGCTGTTCAGATGATGCATCATGGAATCGTAGGTACGGAATCTTATTCTTAATCTTAGGTATGGAACCTTAATCTTAGGTACTTATTCTGAAGGAAAACCAACTCTGTTCATTTGGCTTATTTCCAGGAAACTGCTGAGCGCCATCTCCATTGTTATGTATTTCCTGGTTTGGTCTGTGGTTAGTTACATCCCACTCTGCCTCTAAATAGCTCACATCAAGGTGGATCAAGCCAAGAGAGAATGATCACCCAGTGATTTTTGTAGAGTTTTCTGAATGTGTTTTAGTGGACCAGATTATCTTCCTATAGATCCCTCCAATGGGCATTTGCATAAACAAGGCTGCTGCTAGTGTAGAACATGGAATGGCTTGAAGAAGGTGTCCCAGGTGGTATGTAATTAAGCAACCTAACAATGGACGTACCATCGTTGTCTTCCTTAGGGAAGTGAGAATGAAAGAAGAAAACCAGGGAATTGGCATATTCAAGTGGTGCTGCTCGCCAAATCAGTGTTTTGAATATTCTGTGAACATATGCCTTGTGCCATGCTTGATTATATAAGCTGGGCTAAAGCAAGGGTGCAATTCCTCAAGCCAGTCAGCCAAATCCAGCCCACGAGGGGTGCTCAGATGGCTATGCTCCTTTTCCCTAGCCCCACCCCCTCTTTCTACCCTGGGTGTTGGGTAGATTCCGGGACATGGTGTGCTTCTTCCCCATTTTAAAAGATTGAAATGTCTCTCCTAAGGCTTACTTGTGGGCAGGAAGAGCTTTAAGCCAAGAGATGCTGGCACTCGGATTGCTTTGGCCCCCTTTTCGCCTTTGCTCCCATCCCACTTTGCTTTCAGGCCTGCCCACCAAGGGAACACCCCACTCCCCCCATCCCCCTTTTAGCAAGGCTCCAAAATTGAATCTGCCCTTCTGGTTGAAAGAGGTTCACTAGCCCTAGCTTAAAATAAAAAATGGGGCAAAGAGATTGGCTCACCTTCCCTTCAACCCCAACTCCACAGTCGGCCTCCTGAATCATACTGACATCATTCCCACCGTCACCTGCAAGAGACAACATGGGAAAATGGCCATGGAGGTTCTGGGTGTAAACCAGTGGGTACTGCAGTGCTCTTATGCAGAGCTGTGATGTATGACTAGCAGCAAGGGCTCCCAGATTGGCATTCACCACAGGCACTGTCCCCAGGAGAAGGGAGAAGCTGATGGAGATGCTGGGATGTGGGACCAAGTGCACTCCTACATCAAGCTCCAGAGCAGGGCAGGGCTTCTTGTCAGTTTCAAGGATGGGATCCCCTTCAGTGAGTGCAACGGGGGACCCCTGAACATCAAAATGCCTCTCATTATGCTGTGAGGCTGGCGTGTGCTAAGCAGAAAGCAGCATATTCCAAAGAGTCTAGTGGTATATTTCACATCATGAGTAAGAAACTTGGAATTTCAAAAGCCTTCTGCAACCAAATGGTTCAGATTTCTGGCAAAAGTAATTCATGTCCTCCCAGGAGCCCACTGGGCAGCAAGTAGAGGGCAAGCTGTCAGAAGGAGAATTTATATGCTAAGGTTTCTCCCCGCCTTAGTAACCCCAACCACTAAGAATCATATCCAGTGTGTATCTGTGAATGCTTCCCGATGGAGGCCTTCTTGTGGTTGCAGGTCATTCTTTTGCATTTATTTTTAGATTTGGGATTGCAGTGTCCCTCCTACCATGCAGAAGACATTGCCTTATTTTCCTTTTCATTGTTCCACCGCTACTCCATCCCTACATGTGTGGAGGACCAAGAAAGGACGCGGCAATGGCAGCCTTTCTGTCCCTCAGCTTTGCCAATTCTGCCAGAAATTTCCTTCTCGCACTTCTTTATTCCTTAGAGAATCTTTTCATCTGTGTGCACATCTTTTTTATTTAATTTTTATTCTGGAAATGCACAACAACAACAGAGGCTGCTGTCTTCTTTATTCTTTTTTTAACTGAAAATACTCCTAGCTTAGGCTTTTGTTATTCCATTTCCTGCCTCATTCACAAAGGTTTATGGGGTGGATGAGGGCCAGAAACATCTTCCCAAAAAGATAAAACAGGCACACAGACCCTTTGGGGTGATAGCACTAGGAACCATTTCCAGAAGCACCCTGAAATTACACGTGCAACCAGAATAACCCTCCACACATTGCAATGTCCCACGCAGGAAAGTGGAAGTGCTTCATTTGCAATAAATGATGGAATGTAGTGTGATTGAAAATGCCAAAATGCTTCTGGGTATAAGCAGGCTAAGATCACAGAAGCACGGTGACATTGTGCGTAACCCCTGTGAAATCTTGTGAACACACCAAGTCAATGACACTGCAAAAGCCTTTGCCTGGAAGCGCCCAATAACTCTCCTAATTCTTGATATTGGAATGGTCTTTTCCAATCTGATGCCCTCCACATATTTCATACCACAACTTCCAGCGTGCCTGAGCTTTGTCTGTGCTGGACGGAACTGAAGATAGCTGAGGGCTTGAACAACCAAGAGGCAGCATGTTAGGAAAGGCCATGCTTGAGAGTGATAGAATATTGGGAACTGATTGTATTGATAAGGCCAGTTTGCATCCTGTGTCCTGCAGATTTTGCTGCAAAGCCTGCATTCTTCCAGAAATGAATATTGCTGCTCATTAAATCTCACTACATCTCCCAAGTGGTGGTGGCTCCTGCTTGTGCAATGTAATTTGCAGGATCCACCACCTGCACACAGAAATCCGCAGGATGAAAAGGAATCAAATTGGGTTGCTAAGCATGCACTGGAAACAGCTTACGGAAGCAGATTGTGTCTGCAATCCAAAGACACTGACATATGCTTGCAGAGTGCTTTCTCCCACCCATGGGAGTGCTTGGGGATAATTTTCCCTCCCCATGAGGAAAACCATTTTCAAAGAGTTTCAGAGGAAGGTGGGGAGATGCCACCAGAAGCAATAAACCAAAAGTGCCTGGGTGAACACTGCTTTGCTTGCAGCCTCACCCTGTGATGGAGATACACAAAAAGATGCTGAACCCAGTGAGAGGTTCCCTACCTACTGCACAAGTCAGCTTCCCAGTTCTCTCCTGGAGCAAGCGTACAATCTGGGCCTTCTGTGTTGGGGCACATCTGCAGCAGACCACAGCTGGACACTGGCAAGCCAATTCCATAAATTCATACTCATAGTATTTCAAGCACACCTGTTCCACGAAATAGATACTCATTATTAGATGGCATGATGTAATTCTTTCTTGCCCCTTAGAGCGGCTATTGAAAGTGCCCAGTCCTCACCTCCAGGGAATCACCAGAAATCACAAGGGCACAGTCATGCTTGCGACGGAAGGCGTTCAGCTCCAAGTGAGCTTCTCCACGGTTGGTGACCTAGAAACAAGCAAACAGCTAACCCTAAACACACAAAATATTGGAGGAAAGTATCTGAAAATCCATTTTTAAAGAAGACAGTACAAAATTCGAATTGGTTTGCACCATGAATCCTACATCATTCATGCCAATGCAAGTCAACACTGTGCCAGCAGAAGGTCACATTGCAACTGGACTTTCTCTTCTCTAAGAAATCTGCAAATGATACAAAAGCCCTCTGACTGAGCAACTCTGGGAGACATGGGCAAATACTCTGACCTGCTGTGTTTCCTCATTCACTGCTCCTGTATAGCTGAGAGAAACAGGAGAGCAGAAGCATTTTGTTCAGACACTCAACAGAATGTAATCCTTCCCCAAAGCATGATGGTTGCTGGATCACTGCTCCTGGACCCAAAACTGTTGCCTGAGCCATAAGTGCACTCAGTCACATGGAGCACCTTTTACCAGCTTAGACCGGAATATCAACTATGACCCTATCCAGACAGACAGAGCTTAGCTGCAGTTATGCATGCTCTGGTAACCTTTCACTTGGATTACTGCAATGTGTTGTATGTGGGGCTGCCTTTGAAAATGGTCCAGAAATGTCAACTGATTCAAAATAGGGCAGCAAGACTGTTAATGGAGAGTGGTTTTCAAGATGATATTGCACCAGTCCTCTTCCAGCTGCACTGGTTCCCAGTTGAAGTCTAGGCATGATTCAAAGTGCTAGTATGAACATATAAAGCCCTAGTGGCATGGGGTCAGGTTATCTGAAGGAACTCCCTTATGTACCTACCTGGACCCTAAGATCACCTTTTGGGTCCTTCTCCAGGAGCCCCCTCCAAAGGAAGTAGAGAGGGTGGTCACAAGGAGAAGGGCTCTTTCAGTTGAGGCACCCCAACTATGCAATGAGCTCCCCAGAGTGGTGCAGCTGGTGCCTTTTCTCTACATTTTTTGTTGCCAGGTAAAAACCATTTTATCTGCCCAGGATTTTAATAGTTAATGTTTTGATCTTAGTTTTTATACTGTAATTTTTGTACTACTGCTATACCTCTGCATTGACTGCAACTACTGTGGTTTCATTGGTTTTATTCCTTTTATGTTATTCTCTTTGTTTATATTTTTTAAACTTGTGTTAACAACTCAGAGAGCCTTGGGCTTTTGGGTAGTATAATAAACAAACAAACTGATTGGAGATCTTGATAAAATATGGCCTTGAACTAAACGTACATCTGCCAGTCACCCAGTTGTTCCTTCTGCCCCCTACTTTTTCCACCCAGCATTTTAGAAACAAAACTTAAAGATGCTGAGCGGGATCTGGTGTTAGCATAGTGGAAATGACCACTGGCGCAACAGGAAGCTAGCACAGGGTAGCACAACCAAACACTAGCCACATCTGGAAGGAGACAAGCTGGGATCTCCCCAAAAGAAGTGGGGGGAAGTGCCACTGATCTGCTCCTTTCTGAAAGCAGACTTTTCCAGTTTCTTTCCTGGATTGTGCTAGGAAGCACCAGCTTTCTTTTGCACTAGCAGTCATTCCTGCTAAGGCAACATTTTTAAAATTGGACAATTCCCAGCATCAATACTGCCCACTATACTCACAAGAGACATCTAAGAACTCTTCAGATCTCTAAAACATGTGTCTTTATCAAACCCTTGTCCTGGAACACCTTCAGTTCTGTTGCATTTGAAGGGAAGTTGGTTTTGCATCAGGAAGAAACAGAACCAGAGCAACATGACTGAGTCTGCTTGGTCTTTATCTGACTCTGATGCTCAGTTCCAGTACAGGCATACCATGTAAATACAACATTACTGGTTGTTCCAAGGAATCTCGGGACCTGACATTTTTCTCAATGTTTTCAAAATAGCAATTTTACTGAGATTCCTGATTTTCTCACTGAACAACAATGATTAGGGCTTTTTTTGTGGTCTGTGGAAAAAGTCAGAGGCCATGAAAATTAGATTGGTTTAGGGGGCAAACCAATGCATGATTCCTGGAATAACTATTTTCTTTCATGTATGTACAATTGACACAGTAAATTTGTATCCTTCCTATAACAACTTCTTTAGGAGGCAAAATACCGATCAATCTTTTGCTAACAACCAATAAAAATCAATATTGACTTGGGAATGATGGTAGTTGTAAGACTTTTATCTTTCAACAGGTATAGATTGTACCCTTAAAGAACTCTTTATGCATGAAACTGTTAATTGCTGTATCTGCATTTGGTTTCATTGCAGCCTTGCGATCCAAGCAAAGCACAAACACTCTTGCTGCTTTCTCAGTACGTACAACCTCTAAGTGGAGCTGTGCAATAGTGGAATAGAGCAAATACATTGGGAAAAAGAGCATCATTTTTCTCACTGTGATGAATACATCATTGTCTTCATTCTGTTTTAGAAACTGGTTTATGGGGGCTCAGCAGAACTGCCAAGGATGGGACCTTATGGAGGACATTTATTCATAGGGCCCTCAGGTTGGAGATGACTTGAGCGCATGTAACTAGTACAGCAGCAAAAATTTGGGAAAGTGCTCTGACAAAACAGAAGAGAAACTGGAAGATCACCACATTGTTCAAAGAGCCACTAAACAACCCTAAGGAATCATATGCAAAATAAAAGCCTTACACAGAAAAGCCAAAATCTGAAGTTATAGCTATTTTGGAAAGTAAGTCATAGTGTGCCACATGATACCAGGTACAGAACAAATTTAATCGGAATAGAAATTCTGAATGATTCACACCCTTCTAACTTGTTCATAAAACTTCTGCTCTGTATTTTGCCTTCTTCAAGAAGCTATTATAGGAAGGATCCAAGTGTACCATGTCACTGGTGCCTGCAGGAAAGAAGCTGTGTTATTCCAAGAAAATTGGGAGGAAATAAGGTCTACTTTTTCAGGACATTCTTTTTCCACAGTGGATGTCCAACTTCTGTGTACTTATCAGATGACTCTAGGTGTTGTATACATGCAGTGATAGTCAGATAAAGATTAGGTTTGTATCCTAGACTCAGACTGTATTCTAACTGCACATTTCAGCTGGTGTAAGTTATTCCCTTCAAGTCATAATGTAGGTCTGCAGACAAGTGCTAAGTAAGCTACTTTTACACATATTACTCACCAGTCTAAATATATGAATGTCTTGGGTCCTGGTTACCAGATGTGCATTCTTAGCTGTACACGTGGCTGTTTCCAGTTTATCCCCTGTGAGCATCCATACCTACAATGAAATATTTAATATCTCAACATCAGTAATCACAAAAAGGCATTGGACAAAATGTTTAGCTTTTAGTAATTTTAACAATATATAATATATTATATTCAAAACAGCTTTCAATAGAATGCAGGAGAAAAGGAAAAGTTACTTTAAATTGCTCCACCTGGTAGCAGACAGTATGTGTGAGAAGACCCAGCAAGAAAGATGGGTGGTGACGAGCTGAATCATGGCCATAACTGCACAGTTAGTCATTGTAAACCATGAGGAGATGGCTCCCGTGTGAAGCAATTTGAAGAGAATTTCAAATGATATGATAGTTAATATGTTCCAATGGGACTCGAGTCAAGTGTGTTTAATTCCCAGTGAAATCCAAGAGACTTGGAGTCTGGATCTCAATCATTCTAGCCCACTCTTTCTCTTAAGTGCTCTGTGATGGCCATCAAGAGGCTAATTACATGTAAACACGCATAAGCTATGTTGCCAATTAAAATAGGCTAAAAGCAGAGGAGGCCTCCTTAAACTCAACTTTCTATCAATGATGCATCAGACCTGCTCAAAACAATGGTCTTAAAATGCTTGACAGCTGGACTCTGACCTGATGGGAAGCTATAAAATAATCACAAGTTTCAGCACAAGGTTCTTCCCAACGGTGCTCCCTCTGGTGGCCATTTCAAACAGGAATACAAAATCCCACAGTTGCAGATGTGTTTCTCATTCCATACAATACACAAGCGGCATCATAAAAGCTGAGAGGCACACAATTCAGTGCTGCCTGGATCTCATAAATGCACAGAAAGTCAGACAAGCTAGCCAAGTTTGGCTTGCGGTGCTAAAGGGCACTTGATCATACAATTGTCATGTGCAGCGAGTCAGTAGGTGGTGGCAGTTTTAATGCTCTTAAAACAGACCAACAAAATCCCCTCCAAAAAACTCAAAAACATTTTTGCATGTAGTTAACCAGCACATCTGAAGCATTTTGTATCAATGAGCACATGAGAAACATTTGGTGGAAGCCTTACGCTGGGCTAGTATAAACGTGTTTGCTGTGCCTGTGGAGTGGTTATAAATAGGCGTTCAACAGTTGTGCAGTGATACATTTGAAGTGCAGCCTCTCCTCGGGACAGTCGCCATTGCCATAGCCTCAAAGGAGAAACAACAACCAGTTCTAGCAGTTTCATCTATACCCCAATCAGGTATTTTACAAAGCTAATGGAGTTTATTGTCCATTCAAGATCAAGCCACCACAAAATACTTTGTATGACAACAGGAAACAATAAACTGTTGATGGGAAAATCCATTTCCTCTCACTTACTGACAATGGATGAGTATAGGTTGTCACTGATGGTGCACTGTTGTGGATATGTGGTTTATTGTGTTGTCTGAATCCAACTGTACTAACAAGACATGGCTTACAAACCAAGAGCAACACATGAAGAGAACCCATAGTTTGTGTGGTTGTGGTTTGCTGCCTTGGCTGGATTCAGATAACATGCTAACGTATTTCAACAACAACCCACTCTCAACCCTTAAGTGGGGGTTACCAGGTTGTCATAACCCACTCCCTGAATAGCAGCTAAGCTCAGAGAAAGCAGTAAAATCAGTGGGGTGGCAGATCATAATAGTGATCCACAGTCCCTCTTGATGCTGAGAAGGCCTTTGACAAAATTTATTGGAAATTCATCTTTGTGACACTGAGAGACTTTGGATTCCCAGCAGAATTTTTGAAATAAGTTACAATTCTATATGCAACAACAAGAGCCATAGTTATGACTGTCAGGTTTCTTTTGGATTTTTTCCTATCGGGGAGAGGTACCAGAAAGGGATGTTCCCTTTCTCATTTGATATTTGATTTATGTTTGGAACTCATGATGAATAGTAGTATTTATGGCTTTATGTATAATAGTCTAGAATTCAAATTATTCTCGGTGCTAACCATCTCTTATTGTTTATTTCTGAACTGTTCCCACTTCAATGCAATTAATTGTTTTGGTTATTTATCTTCCTATTTAAGGTGTTGTGGCACAATAGCTGGCTTACAAATATTTTAAATCAGCAAACAAACAAATAAATAATTTAACTGGTCAAATTCAGAACTTATGTCCATTGGAAATACGTTTTCCACAATGTATTAACTAACTTACAATTTTAATGTTGCCCTAATCTCATTATCTATCTACTAGGGATACCCATTTCCAGAATATAGCTCAATTAATTAAATTAAATTAAATTAAATTTGATGAAACTAATGATATATGGACAAAAGGGAACAACAAGTTGAGGTTATGGGGTAATGTAAATGCACTTGAGATTACAATTATACACTGAATTGTGTACCTGTTATGTGGGATTCCTTGGTTCATATCTGGCAAATATTTCCAAAACCTCAAATGTGCTTTATTTTGCACATTTTAGGAGTTCTTTTCTGCTATGAATATTCACTAGATACACTAAAGTAGTAAGAATATTTCCCACCATTATAGTAGTAAGAGAAGTGTTGTGGACAATATCATCTCAATTTTCTCATACTAAATTAACCCAGACTTAAAAATAGGCAAGGGAATGTTTACATGGCAAACCTAGACAGTTAAGCTGGTTTTTACATTGGATCAATTAGTGGGCACCGATCATAATTTTTTGCCATTTTCCGATCATCTGATAAGGATGATCTGTTAGCTACAGTTGAATGACAATACCTCCAAATTGCGACATTTGAATCTAGGTTTGGTCCTGCTGCTTTTGAAGCTTTAGAGACTCCTCTGATATTAGAAATATATGCTAAGTGGGAGGGTTCAGAGACACAGATTTATGATCTGGATGTATAGGCATTTATCATCAGTGGCTAAATATGATCCACAGCAATCAGGAAAGGAATGGAATAGAAAACAAGACTGCCTTACCTTGCCCTGTCAATTGATTGCTATGTCAGCATCTCTTTCAAAAATTCCAAAAGGTCTTAAGCTACAGCTTATTCACAAAAACTTCTGTTCCGTGTATAATGGATAGCTGTCTCCTTTAGGGAGGAGATTATATAATATGGATACATTTTATGCTGGAACAATCCAGCACCTTGAAATGGGCAGTACGGCAGCCAATGCAAGCATGATCTTATATGCATTTCAGTGCATTTTCACATTACTGAAAATGCAGCATTTTATTTGCTGGGAAAATGTCAGATTTCCACCAAATACTGCAACAAGGCACTTTAAGGACCATGGACACCTGCTTGTCACACAGGACAGAATACTAAAATGAAAAGCATTAATATTGTGATCGTAGCCATGTCAAATAAGACGGAACAGTCCCATTACAGCTCCTTTATGCAGTTCTCTTACTTAAGCTCATCGCTCGTGCTGCCAAGAATAGGAAAACTCCCTCAGAACTGTCTAGTTTTGGTTTCTAGTTGAACCATACCTTCATGCCAGCATTTCTCAGAGTTTCCAGAGTTGGCCTGACATCTGCTTGCAGTTGATCCTCCACACCAGTCAGACACAGCAGCTCCATCTCCATCTCCAGGCTCTCAATCACAGTGGCTACCTTCAAGGAGCGGTCATGGACGCTCAGCTTTGCTTGGACGTAGCGTGCCTAACAAGGTCCAAGGGAGATGTCCAGTCAGGATTTATTCAAGTGCTAGGAACTTACACTGATACAAAAATACAGGGAGGAGAAACAATGGCAGGTGTGGGGATTATGCCCACTTCTATAGCATGCCATTCAAAAGTTAATTGCTTCAAAATCTCAATCAGAACTGGAAAAAGAGGTGGGACTGGAACACTTTGCTGAAATGCCAAGCCAACTGACCCAAGGTAAGACAGGCAATGAAGCTGGTTGCCATTGCTAGAGAGACTAGGAGCACATCCAGACCAGCCCTTTCGTCATAATTCATTTGTATTACAGCTTTGACCTTTCATGCCTTGGAAGAAATTAGGCAGCAGCATCAACAGTAGACACGGCAAAGTCAATTGCTGGATTCACATGGCACAACACCCCACCCTCCCAGCTTATAACCCCCTCCAACAGGCCATGGCTTGCCGAGGATTTAGTAGCCATCCGGAAGGCATCACAAGTCCAGAAATAGCCCAAACCACTACAGAGCCACATGGCAAGAGCAACAAGAAAGCCTTGTGGTTCTAGCTGAGTGACTTCCAGGTAAAGCATTATGCCAGCCACCTGTCAAGTGACCAAATGGCACTTGCGGGTACCTGTCAGAAGCTCCTCCCATCTCACGTCGCTGTTTGGTGGCAATAGTGCCGAATGGGGTCGTGCACTCGGCTTTTCTAGAGGAGGCCAAGCAGAACACCTCTCCTGCCTTCGCATCTGATGCTGAGGCGCCACTGGATGGAAGGGGGGATGCGTTCTCTTTGGCCTACTCTAGCCCCACTTGGGGCCTACAAAGTTGCAGTCCCTGCTTTCCCCCTTGCTGACAGGGACAAGCAGTGGCAGCAAGAGGGCAAACTTCATTGTTCCCAATGTTTCCCATGGGATATCATGGGGAGGAGGAGGGAGAGGCATGGCATGCCCTAAGTGCAATGCATCCAGATGCATTGTGGGCAGGGTGTCTTCTAAGCCATCCTGCAGCTGTCTGGCCTAATTAGGGTGTTGTCCAAACCCGGCCAACGTAGGTCGTGTTCAGCAGGGCTTATTGGAGTGGGCAGGGGAGTGGGAGAAGCAAGTGCATCTTTCCCAGCTTGGTGCCCTGTAGATGCGTTGGACTACAATTCCCAACATGCCTGAGCCATGCTGGCTAGGACATGCCAGGAGCTGTACTCCAACACATCTGGAAGGCACCCGGTTGGGAAAAAATGCTGGCCAGGGATAAAAGGAACGAACATGTGCAGATGCTGACCCATATATACTTAAGCTGCATTCTTCTTCACATCTTGCTTATACAGATTTATGACCTGCATCTGGCACCTTTTCATAAAATGCTCAGTGGAATGCCCGACCAGAAACAAACACAAAATTCCCCAAATGGCCTGGGACCAGGTATCTCAAGAGCCACCTTTTCCTGCATCATTAAGGACTGGCTCTGAGTTTCAGAGTTAGGTGGGTGCTGCCCAATTTAGGTGGGTCCCTTTTCCACCATGGCATTCACAGTTATGACATACCTTCTCCTGGTGCCATGGCTGCCCCCATATTTATGTGCCAGTTGAAAGATGCCCCATCCTTCGTGTTTAAAACCATGAGAAAGCTTTTAGAGCAAGCTGCATTATCATTGATACAACATGCCGGTTCTTAAGCAGTTAGTGTTATGCTGCTGATGTTAGCAATGCTTGTTGCCTTATATTTTATTCTTGGATGGTTAATTACTTCTGTTTGTAAGCCAGCTTGGAGGTGGGCTATAAATCTGTTGCTGGAGTGATCAGAAAGTGAACAAAGGAAACTGCCTACACTGAATCACAGCTGCCTTCCATCTAACCCAGCATCACTGACACTGGCTGGCAAGGGCTCTCCATATTTCGAGGCAGAAACTTTTTCAGTTCTACCTGGAGATGCCAAGAACATAACCTGAGATCTTCTGCAATCAACACCCTACCAGTGGGAGATTCTGCACAGGAAAATTTCCATTTCAAAGCCCTACTTTCACTGGCACTAATTCAAGGGGGAAATGATAGGTGCATGCCAAGACTTCTTCATCCTTTTTGGTGGTCTTAAAGGAACAAGGGAGCATTAGATTGGTGGTATCCAGGGCTTTCTCTGATTTCCTTCAGACATAACCCTTTTTACTTCCCACCACTACAGAAACAGGAAATTTACAGCAGTACATCTCTCAATACTTCAATCGAAGTAATACAGTCCCTATAAGCCTCACATCCTGTGTGCCAGTCTTCTTCAACCTGGGGCCCTCCAGATGTGTTTGAAGGGATGCTTGGAGCTCTGGGTCAACACAGCTTCAGGGTCCCATGCTGTGGAAGGCTGATAGATGACTTATATTACTTACCTCAAAGTCTTGATACTGTTCTTCTGTCAGGGATTTCTTTGCTACCACGAGGACCCTCAACCCTTCCCTCGCCATATTACCACACTGCAGAGGGGAAAAAAAAGATATTGCAAATAAGATCAGTGACTTCTCAGTAAGTGACCGTGAAGACAGGTACTTGCAATGAGAGCAAAAATGAAGTTATTAGCAATAAACATAGCAAAACAATTGTTTCCTTTCAGGGAGGTGGGAGATGATTATGATTTCTGTGCTGCTCAATAGAGAAACTCTCTGGGCAGTTCACAACACATAAAACACAGTGTAAAATACATGCAACAATAAAAATATCCTAAAAATAACCATGCTAATTAAATCATAAGACCTGTTTGAGCAGCTAACAGAAGCCACAATATAATATTAAACTAATTAAATGTCCTGTGGTAGAGGGCATTCTTACTCTGGTACCAAAAGATATTAAAGTTGGCATCAGGCAGGCCTCAGTGGGGAGCCTGTTCCATAATTTGTAGTCAACACTAAAAAGGCCCTTCTTGTTGCCACTAACGGACTCTTTTAAATCTATGAATTTAGTTTTCATAGTTGTGCTTTTTTACTGAATTGTGTCATAACTTATGCAAGTACAGTTAGCATGAGAAGCAGATTTTATAACCATAGCTCTGAGGCAATTGTTGCAGATGTAGCAAAAGAGCCCATCTCTCACTCACTATAGACTGTTCAAGTTTATTTTATTTGGAGAATTTATTTATTTGGAGAATTTATATGCTGCCCAATTCACATAAGCCTCAGGGCGGCTTCCAAACCATAAATACAATCTATACAATTACATAAAATATTGGAGACATCCTGGCATAAAAGTGTTAAAAACAATAAATAAAATCAACAATTAAAATAACGTTTAAATAAAAAGGTCTTGGCTTGGCGCCGAAAAGCAAATAACAGCACCTGTTAGATTGGTCTGATTCTGAGGAGCAGGTAGAGGGCTGGGGGTATGGGTGGGGGAGGACTTTGAAGGTTACCTAGTGAAATTTCTCAGGCAGAGTGTGAGGATCTGCCTGCTTTGGAACAGGTGAAAGGGTTTTCAGGAGGAGAGGGAGAGATGATGGGAGAGATGAGCTGCTCAGTTGGAGAGCCTTTGCCACCATCTTGCCCTCAAACAGCAAGAGCGTCCCTGAGGCTGAGCCAGAAGCTTTACTGAAAGGGAGGGACAGAGCAAAAGTTTCAGTTTGGATTCACCTCCTTACATGGGCTTCTCCCTCAACTTTGATACAAGGCTATTTAAAGTTCATACTGTTCTTCAGTTGAGTTTTAATAAAAGAACTGCACTTTGAAAGATAGTCTTGAGTTTGAAAAGCAGAAGGAAAGACGGAAAGGTGCAGCTCATGACCACAGTGTCCTATATGGTATGCAAGGTTCTCATGTTACATCTCCTGCCATAAAAAATACTTCCTCTCGCTATATGACTGGGGTCATTCATTTGCTGAGGGGCTTCTAAACATTTCAGGCCCTATTGGAGTTTTTAGCACAGCATCACCAACAGCATCACCCAACCTATGGAATGCGCTCCCGAGAGAAGTCCGCCTGGCGCTGTTGTTATTTGTTTTTCGGCGCCAGGCCAAGACCTTTTTATTTAAATGCTATTTTAACTGTTAATGGTTTACTTGTTGATTTTAAATTGACCAGGCTCTTTCCACTATTTTATTTTATGTATTTTATTTATTTGATGAATTCTTTGCATTTTATACCAGATTTTAATGATTGTAAGCCGCCCCGAGGCTCATGCGATGGGGCGGCATATAAGTCGTCTAAATAAATAAATAAACATCCTCCAGTGTAGGCTAGACCCAGGTCACAGTCCATAACAAGCTGGTTCTGGCTGCAATGGATTCAAAGACACCTCTCTCCATCCAAGGAGTGCAAGCTGCTGCTCTGGCTTGAGGGAGCAACTCACAGGACCTAGCCAGAGTGTCCTTCTGTGTTGAAAACCAATCCAAGCCCAAGTGCTGTCTTCCAGTTCACAGTAGGACTAAAATACTGCACAGTAGTGAACAAGATGATTTCATGGCAAGACAAGACAGATGAGTCTGAAAAACCCACCGCCCTGAGCAGAGGATCTAAAGGGCTATTTGCACCCAGGGGCTTGTAGCTCCCTCGCCCTCCTTCCAGCGTGATGCCTGTGCTTACTCACAGCACCATAACGAGGGCAAAGCAAAAGTCAGCTTCCCAGCCAGCCACACTCACAGGAAGCACCGGTGGCTGCTGGGCCACCACGGTTTGCTCTCTTCTGTGCCCCTTTGCACAGCGGTTGCATCAGAGGGTAGAGAGGAGAGTGCTGTGGTGCACAAGCATCAAAGATCCCCAGGGTGCTGGTGGAGGAGAAGCGTGGGAGGGCGAGGCACGAGGCAGGCCAGCTCGCCTTGGCTGAGTGCAGCACACAACGGCAGAGGAGGAAGGGAAGCTGGAGCAAGATGAGACAAGGCAAGGTGTTGGTGTGTGGCAGACAGCCTGAGCAAGGCAGTGGGAGGAAGCTTAGCAAATTCTGGGTGGCCAAGCTGACACTTGGCCAGAAACTCCCTCCGGTATAAGAGGTGAAGAGGACAACCTTCCTACAGGAAGAGTTAGGAGAAGGGAAGAAGAAGCATAACAAGCAACCATCGGACCCAGTGGCTCAGGAAAGGGGAGAACAGAGGGGATCTTCTTTGTATAATATGATTATGATCAGAACTTCTGCTTCTAAACCAAGCCTTCAGCCAGGAAAGTTCAAAGAAGGAGATGAACCATTTAATTTCTTTCAAAATCATTTGCTGGTTTTGGGCTCCCTTGTGCAGGTGGGCACTGAATGTTCTATTTCTTGGGCATGTGCCCACCAGTAAGCTTTTGGTCTCCTGTGGGACACAGACTTTTTTTTTCAAAATGCCAAACACACCTCAGCAGGTACGGTCTCACTCCACATGAGACGCAAGTCTTTTTGAAGGCCAGGGTGAGATTTCATGCTGCACACTACTGTTCATGTTGTATTTCATTATGTTCTTGAGTATTTTAAGATTCCTATTGCTCACTTTGGGTTCTCTATTATCTGGTTCTTGATGTCTGCACTGACTGTCTCATATACTTATGTACCTCTTGTTCTTAGAAAACTTCCAGGGAGCTCCCAGTATCTCACCTTCCAGGCACCAACAGAAGTTCACACCTTCTTAACATGCATCAAGTTACAGCAGGGGTGCAAAGCCTCAGAACCAGGGGCCAAAAATAGTCTTCTGAGTTCCCTAGAGCAATGCCACCTTTCTGCAACCACTATTCTTTGGCAAATTCTCAGCTTTTGAGCAGTTTATTTCCCTTTCTAAAGGGTGAAAGGCAGAGGTGGCTGGTGGCTCAGATGTCAGCGGAGCTGCGTATTCACTCCAGATTTGAATTTTAATATTTAAGAAGCTATTAGTAGTGCTGAACACTATCCCCAGAATAGGCTCAGCACCTTGGAGAGCTCCTTTAAAGTTTATACTGAATCCTGGCATGGATACACCATACTACAAACACTGCAGCCATCAGTGACTGCTGCTCAAAGGCTTCTTTTAAGGCTTAGAGACTACCAGAAAAAGCTTTAGACTAAAATATACTGGTGTATTTGGTAACCTTCCCCCGTGCCACTTAGCTTTTGGGCCCACTCACTACTGGAATGTGGCTGAACAGCTTCTCCAAAATGGGATTTTGACATTAGGTAGGGTGAAAATGCTTCTGCAACCCTGGGTCACAAGATCAGGTTCTTCCAAAGGTTCCCTTTACCAGGGCCACCTGTTGGGTCCTCCATGCATCATTCTGATCTCATCCTTAGAACAAAATCAAGCAGAATATCAGACCAGCGTCTTCCTACCTCTTCATCAAGCCAGTCATTGTACTGAACGATGCCAGCCATTACAACATCGGCCCCTTTCATGTAGAACATTATTTCCCCTGTAGATTCATCCTGAAAGAGACAGCAGAGAAGGAAATCGAATCCAACAAAAACCAGTTTTGCAGGCAACCTGTTTTAGCTTAGGTACTCCAAATATATTTATTTCAAGAATTTATTTTTGCAGACCTTCACTGTCATATTACAGCCACTCCAAAAAAGATAATTGAACAAAAATATAAACAACCAGTCTAATAAAATAATTATAATAAAAACAACACAGCAGCAGAACAACAGGGATTGAATAAATAAAAGGAAGTCGAAACATAGTTTAAAGGTTAAAAGCAACTTTTAAAAAAGTTTTTTCAGCATTGAAATAACAAGAAAGTGACACAAGGTGGGCACAATGTATTACAATGTGCAACACTTCTAGATCCTGGGTTACTATGTTCCCCTCTCTCCATTTTGCAGTACTGTCTAAGATGGGGTACACAACTTATGGCCTTCCAGATATTCCTGTTTTATGCCATCATATGGTTATTTATTTATTATGCATCATGAGATGCATGTGAGTTCTCAAGGGCTGAAACGTACACTAAAATAAAATCCCTGCATACAGAAAACCAGCATATTGGATTGTGGGCCAAGTCTTTCATGGAACTGGTGGATGGCATATTATTGTCTATTTGAATGTGTTGCTCTATTTTGAAAGAGGTCAATGTTGTCTATATGTCAGTGAAAACTTCCATTTAGAAGGTAGCAATGGAGGCCAGAAAAAATACCCCTAAAAGAAAAGTTCACTGGCATCAGTTAAGAGGATGGTCCATACTGGCCCAGAGTCCGGTCGGAAGGCACATAAGTCATCCAACAAGTTGAAACTAAGCAGGTCTGACACTGGCCTGAGCTTGGAGGGGAGACCACCTGGGAAATGCATGCAGCCACCTTGAGTTCCACAGTGGGAGAAAGGTGGGATATAAATATAATAAATAAGATAGATATTTGTGTACTAAATGGTTTAAGCTGTTAAGAAATGTTTTTAAAACTTTTCAGTAGGAAACTGAACAGAGTCTCCACTTCCTGTGGTGTAGAACTAGCTTTAAGATAGTTTAGATCTTTTGTCCAATATAAATACCGTATCAACTATCTCCTTGCATTAGTCATTTCCTCTCACCAAGTTCAGTAGGAGGTTAGCACGTTCCCATGTTATGGCACGATTACAGCTATAAATCTGCAGAAAGATTTGCCAGTTGTATTGTTTCTCAACCACATATTTTTCCACCATGGCCTGAATCTGGCCAAGATTCAAAGTCCGACACACACACATGTGCACTCCCATTTGACATATGACAATAGCACTCTCTGAGTTGCAAAGAAAACATACTCTATTTCAATTGCTCAGAAGCAGAGTGGGGGGGGGAGGAGGAGGAACTTTTTGTGGTTGAACAGTGACCTCCTTACCAGCAAGAGGCAGTAGCAACAGTATGGTTAGCATGTTAGTTATAATGGGACCTCTTGCTCTGGATACCTTTAGAGCCAAGAATCTCTAAGGTTAATCTCTTAAGGAACAAGCACCGTGAAACCAAAAAGGGGAAAACTATTGCTCTGTTTTCTGATAATCACCAAGTACATCTATGAAGGCAGCTGGAGAATCTGAAAATGTTACTTGAAATGTTCAACTGCACACCAAAGGTGAGACAAAAGATAGGGAATGTATTTAAGTTTTGGGATGTGGTAAAATGTGTGGGAAGGAGGCCTTGGTGCATATCATTCCTCACAGCTATGTCACATAGTGTGGATGGGTGGCCTAATTTACAGAGAATAGTTCTATATTTAAAGAACTGTCAGAGGGCAGCTCATTCCTGTTTGATGGCCTGTCCAGCTTGAATCCAGCTTAAAGATGAACAGCCATCTGAAGAAGACCAAGGATGTTGTAACAGACTGAGCAAGCGCAAAGGTTCCAGTCCTTCCCACTAAGGTGAGATGTCTTGTACTTCTATTTAAATTACACTCATAATTTCTTCATCTGCAACTACACATATAAATCAGCATATGCATACGTGATGTGATTGTCTTTTTTGGTTTTGGTGGTACTTTGACTCTTTTTAGCAATGTGTAAGTGGCCATTCAATTTTCACATTGTAAAAATGAAAAAAAAAAAAAAATTCTGTGCCTCCCAAAAGGAAAATGACTGCACAAGAACTCTGCATGTTTTATGGACTCAGAAGTGCAGGGAACAAGGACCACCATCTCACTAGATAAGCCTTTGTGAACTTTTTCAGTTCAACATGCCTCTTTTCTTTTTGCAGCTGAGAAAGTTTCAGTGTGTGGTGCGGCTTTGCACTTCTGCTGATTTTCTACGAAGTCCTGAAAGTGAAAGATGCTCTACCGCACATGGAATCTAGCAGTCTGGTTACCCAGTTCCAAAAGCAAACACTGCTTTGTGTGTCTTGATGCCGTGTCTTCTTTTTTCAGTTTAGTCTAGATTAAGTGTAGAAGGCCAAATCTAGACCTTAAAAGCCCCGCTACTCCCAGGTTCCAATCAAAACTGGGGCACTTGTACCTAGTTAAGAGTGAAAAAAACAAAAAAAAAAAAAAAAAAAAAAGAGGAGGGAAACAACACAGCTGCTGGACAAACATTTAAATTAATGTCTCTTCTGGCCCTCAGTCAACTGGCAAAGGGATATTGAAATATGGATTCAGTCTACTGCCAAATTCATGAGTATCTTCAGTACTTGAAAGTTCAGCATGCAGAATGGGATACTATTATTTCGGAATGCTTGGGCAAAGCTACAATAATTACAGTCCGGGACCAAATGGAAAAAACTGAACACCAATGCAAAACAAACTGTTCCTGGTGAGCAGCTGCCATTTCATATACCATCATGCAGAAACTGCCAAGTTTTCATATCCAGAAGCTGCAGCCTGTCTGTAGACCATCGCACAGTTGCTTGGGCCTTGCCAGGTAGCTTCCTTCCCCATGTGGTACCTGCGCCCAGTGGAGAAGCGTGCTAATGTCTTACGGAGATTAAAGAGGCCATCACACTCCAGGTGGTTTGCAGGTATAGGTTCCAAAAAACACTTTTTCAGTAGGAAATGCCATTGATAATCACTACCAAAATTATTTGAATGTGAAATATTTCTTTTATATCCCTCTCTCATAGGTGCTGCCACTGGAGTCCCTCCCAAGGAACTGACCAGGCCCAAGCCTACTTTGTTTCCATGATGCAGCATCTTCCTGGGTCCTTGAATATTTGAGAGCCAGTGTCATGGCCAAGAGTGAGTCCTTCTCTGCCCTCTCCCTGAACTTACCAGGTGACTTTAAACCAACCAGTTATTTCCTACCTTCAGCCCCCCTTATCTGAAACATGGGAATGATTTTTACCTACCTCACAGGGCTGATGTAGGGGTAACAAAGCATTATGAACACTTTAAATTGAACCATCATGTAAATAATAAACATATTTGCATTAGCGCTTGTATCGCCCATCTTTCCTGTAAGGAGCTCAAAGTCAGCTTCTCAAACCCTCCAGTTTCTTCACCCCATTGTCACAACTAAGTATATAATAGGTGAGGGCCGAGAGGGGAAATGACTAGTCCAAGGTCACCCAGTGAACTTCATGGCTTTGAATCTGGGTCTGGCCATAGTTCAGCACTCTACACTACACAGACTTTTTATTCTGACAGAAGCTATAATTATCTAGTATTATATTAAAGAATTATGATATTATATAATATATCACAGAACTAATTTGTAATTTCTAAATTTAAAAAAGAGCATCACATGCACATACCTCCCATCCCTGGCAAATAGCCTTCCAAATATGATGGACTACATCTTCCATAACTCTGTGTGGTGACTGGGGATGATGAGGTTGGCACTATGTATCTGTGCCACTGATGTATACAGTGATCTAAGCATCCAACTATTTCATTTACTATGTCCGAATTTACCAGCCTTTGCATGCTGGAATATTTATTTGCATATCAGCATAGAACATGCATGAAAGTTCCAACTGTCTTCATGAATAAAATGAGAATGGACCATAGACAGCCCTTTCCAGTCTGATGCTATCCAGATGTGCCAGACTACAAACCCTATCACCCCAGTCAGCATGTTGTAGGGCAACACAGCTGGAAAGCACCACGTTGTTGGGCTGTGTCATTATCAGTTGGCTGCATATTAACAGTAGAATCCACAGAAACAACAAAGCCACCCTCAGGAAAATCAATTTAGTTTATATATTTTATTTAATTATTTATTATATTCATATCCCAGCTTTTTCTGGCAAGAAACCAAGTCAGGAAACACTACATGATCCACCTCCTCTCCATTTTCAGTGTATTTTTTGTATTTTTGTATTTATTGGTAATTTATTATGTTCTATTGTATTTCAATGTATCTTATTGTGTTGTAAGCCGCCCCGAGGCTTCGGCAAGGGGTGGCATAGAAATGTTATAATAATAATAATAACTTTGTCCTCACAACAACCCTGTGCAGTAGATTAGGCTGCAGGTCAGCAACCAACCTATAGCCATCCAGTAAGCTGCATGGCTCAGTGGGGACTAGACCCCAGGTCTCTTGAGTCCCAGTCTACGACATGTAACTATTCTACCACACTGCCTCCCTAGCAGACCTTTTGCTGTGGTTCCATCACAGAGTATTCAACCGTTTTAAAACTTTGACTTCAAAGAGAAACCCCAGTGCAAATTTGATCTTGCAGCTGTGTGGTTCAAATGCAGCCACTTTTAAAAAGCTAAAATCACAGCTGAGAAATCTGATGAAGCAGGATGAACTGGATCTACCAGTAGATCTGAGGGATTTGTAGTTGAGTGGCGGGGATTTTTGACTCCTGGTTGTCGAACTGCAGGAGACAACCTTGTACTATACTGCTGGAATGCAGAACGCTATGGATGAAGCAGGTAAGCAAGAGTGGCTCTGTGAGTGGAGGGACTGGAACAAGCTGGGGGCTCTGCGTTCTTTCACACTCAAGCAGGGGTGGCCAAACTGAGGCTCGGGAGCTGCATGCGGCTCTTTTGAACTTATTTTGTGGCTCACGTCTTGCTGCCCCCGGGTGCCTACACATGCCTGCTTGCTGCTCACTACCTGTAGCCACCACCCGCAGGCGCCCTCTTGCTGCTTGCCACCTGCAGCTACTGCCCACGTGTGGCTCTCAATCATCTGACATTTACCGCATGTGGCTCTTCTGCTGAGCAAGTCTGTCCACCCCTGCACTAAAGCTTCGTGCAGGCATTCGCCTGCAACATGGATTAAAGTTGGGGCAGGATGTGGGCAAAAACCTCCAAACTTCCTTGCACCTTCAGGTACATCAAAGAACTCTGCAAGTGGAGCACAAAGATCTGAACAGGGTTTTGTAAGGGTGATAACTAATTATGCTTGCAAGCCCTACTCAAGAGCTCTGCATTCAACTTGATGTGGCTGCGGTTATGCGATTAGGGGGCACTGCATGCATGTTCACCCTCATCCCACCTCCGCTTTGCCTATATCTTTGTTGCAGGCATAACCTGTGTAGCCTTTATGGGCAGAATCCTTTGAAGGTTTAGGCAGAAAAATCCTACAGATGCCAACATCAGGAATTGCAGGGGTTTTTGCGGTCTAAAGCACCCTGCATAAATGTCTTATGCACCTTGTTCTCTCCGGTATATCTCAAAGTTAAGGTTATACGGATGTTAAACCAGGTCTTCAACAAGTGCTGCATAATGTCCTGGTTGAGAAATGGATGAGAGTTGGGACAGACTGATGCACTGCCCAAAGGATTAGGGCATGGTTGACAGACCAAAAGCAGAGGGCAACTATGAATGGGGCATCATCAGGATGGCTGATGATCTTCTGCTACACAACAAATTGGGCTCAGGGAATTACTTTGGTATTGGTGTCAATTCATGAACACAGTAAAGGGCTTATGAATAACTTTAAAGAGATGTGTTTTTTTGAGAAAACTAGCTGCACCCTTCCCACATATTTGCAGAATATTTCCAATATCTCTATTCAAAGCTAAATCACAAAGCAGTTGCTGCACCCTTGAAGTCAGTCCATGCACCTGTGGCAAAGATGAGATTTCACCTCAGTCACTGGGATCGTGCTTTGCCAGATGGCTGGTTCAATGCCACTTACCCGAACAATTATTCCCATCCGTTTACTTTCATAGGTGAAAGGGAAGATCTGGAGGATGGTATAGTTTAAGATGTGGCCACCAGGGGTCCTCAGCTGCACAGAAGACTGATCTCTGCCAACCAGCGTCAAGCCTACGCTTTCTGTCCACTGTACCAGGGCCACCTAAAAGCCAGAGAGGTCACAGGTCAGACAGACTGCTGAGTCTGACAGTTCAGAGGTCATGCAAATGGAAGCAAAGTGAGGGGGAGGAAGGGAAGTGAGTAAAGCAAAGAACAAAGTTATTTGATTGTTAACTGTACATTTCCCCCTGCCCCAGATTCATTTTCTACAAGTTATCAAGGTGGATAACTGTTTTCCCTTCCAAATCCCAGGAATGATTTGGAAAGGTAAAGACTCCAATCTTATGCTTTGCCTCTCTTTTCTTGGACTTTCTCCAATACAGGCATGCATTCTAAACCACTGAGGGGTTGCTCTGTTGCCCAGTGTTTCTGTAATCCTTAATTTATATTGTTAAATTATATTGTTTTATAGGATGTTATTTATTTATGTTTGTGAGCCACCCCAAGGCTTCGGCGAATGGGGTGGCATAGAAGTTCCCTAAATAATAAATAAATAAATAAATAATCCTCTAGACTAGGCTGTGAGGCCAATCAACAATCATTACATTTTAATAAGTAAGATATTGGCCAAATGTAATTCTAAAGAGAAACATGATGAGCAGTTCTCACCACAAAATTTTGCAGAACACAGTGCTCCTGTTCAGGGTTCCAGCCAGCCCGGCATATTTGCTTTCAAGATACACCATGGCAATTCCCTTCCATTTTCCCCCTTCTCAATCCCCCTGCCCTTTTATCAACTTCAGTTGACACCAGGCCGTTTTGGGGGAGATTTGTCCTCCCAGAATTTTGTTAAGAGTACCTCTGCAAACGTCCTTTCTCCTGCATGCTGGCAATGATCTTTACTACGCAACAAATCAGACTCGGGATTCCTTTGGTTTTGATATCAAGCCATGAACATGGTAAAGGGCTTATGGATAACTTTAAAGAGATGCGTTTCTTTGAGAAAACTAGCTGCGCACTTTCCACCTATTTGCATTCACACACAGCAGCCATTTCTGTCACCAAGTGCAACACTTTTACAGAATACTTTACAAAAGTTGTTGTTGTTAGTGGCAAAGTCATGTCCGACCCATTGTGACCCCATGGACAACATTGCTCCAGGCCTTCCTGTCCTCCACCATCCCCCGGAGTCCACTTAAGCTCATGCCGACTGCTTCAGTGACTCCTTCTAGGCACCTCATTCTGTGGCATTTCTTTGCTTCCATCAGAGACAACAAGAGGTTACATAATGGTAACAACCAGGACATTTGACCCCAAAATAACCTTTCCAGATTCTAAGCTTGACTGATCTTTGCAAGCCAGTATATGACAGTGACTGAAAAACAAACCAAAAAAACACGTAGGCCAGATCTTAAAATCAGCCAGTTCCTGATTCCTCAAGAAGAACCAAACGACTGTCAGGGATTGGCCCTGTGATCCAGCAAAGGAGAGACCATTCCAAAGGTGGAATGCAGCAAAAGACAGGCCCTCCTGCTGGTTGTGATCAAGGGGACCTGTGCAGGTGGCTGGACAACCAGGAAGCCTTGATCTGCAGAACTCTGTGAATGGAACTGTGGTGCAGCTCTGACTAGACCCTGGAGCCCCCAGTTCAAGCAGCCCAAGAAGATCCCAACTGACCACCCAGAGAGCTGTGGCCGATGACATCCTTTTCTATTTCTGAAAATATTTTATTGTCAGGGGTGACCAGTCGGGCAGGAACATGGTTACAATTGCTTGCTAAGTGATTCGTATGTTTAGCACATATTCAAGAGCATGTATTTCTTTAATCAGGGCTGGCAAAACAGGGCTGCATTTTGTTCCTTGCTATTGCTGCAATGAGTCAGGGATGTAGCAGCAGTCGCAAGCCATGGAATTGGGGCGGGGAGAGATGTTGGTTGTGTGCTTCATAGCTGAAATTATACACACAGCTATTTAAAGTGGGCTCTGTTAAGACCATGAAGTCATGGATAAGAAATCAGCCAACCGCAACAATGATCAGGCAGCTTGATATGGGAAAAGGTACTCCCTTGAGTAGCCCAGTACCAAGTTGTCTAGAGTCTCATATGCCAATAACATCACCTTGAACCAATATATTGGCAGCCAAAGCATCTTCTGAGCCAAGGAAAAATGCACTTCTGTTAGGCTGCCCCACTCAGCAACTGAAATGCCAGCTTCTGAAACAGCTGCCATTTCTGCACATTGTAAACAAACTACTATAAAAACACAAATGGTCTCCAACAACTGCAGAAGTACAGTGACCTCAAAACCATCCCAGAATTTTCATTTGGGGAAGCAAAGAGTACAAAATGATTTCAGAGCTACATATATTCCATGAATTTTGGCCATACGCCTTAGTTTACTGACTTGAATGCTTACTCTTTGCAGTCATTATATAACATCAAGGGATTGACAAAAGGGAAAAAAGTCTACTGATAAACACTACTGCATAGAAACAAACAGTTCCCTGTTCGTTATTAGCTGCTGCTCAGAGGCTTTATTTGTATCCTATCCTCACGGGGAACATTGCTAGTAACACGTTTGAATGCTACCTCCTTCCACATTCTAGGAAGCTGTGAAGTGCCACCAGGGTTAAAGGATGGTTTGCCAACAGTCCTCCTGGGCAAGTTACCTCTGATCAGATTCTGCCTGTTACATTTCCCCTCCGTTACTGTATGGCCTCAACCTGCCGGGATCACTAAGCCCCAGAGGCTGTAACTGATCTCTCAATAAAGCAGCTTTCAGGAGTCCCTGCCCAGGAATGCTCACAGGAAACAAATCTAGGAAATCCTGCTTTGTGTTTCAGGAAATGAAACCTATGCCAACTGGTAGAAATTACCCTTGCTGTTCAAAAGTGGAGAAAGATGTGTGTGTGTGCGCGCGCGCGTGTGTTAAGTGGTGGAAACAGAGGGGGGGATCATTCCTCCAAGGTTTTGTTCCGATTTCCACATAAGCTGACCTTCCTGCCTTAGTGATATTTTATTGCTATAAAATTTCAAAGGTAGCATTTGAACAGCAATTAAAGAGACTTTTCATAGATTCCCCACAGGGAATTACTGCTTTATAGTGTCTCTCTTACTTGAAGATTTCACTGACTTCCAGACCCCTTTTAGCAGGCAACTGCTGTGGGGCTAAGAGGACGTAAGGACAGATTTTGTATATTTAAAGAGGTGGTGTTCTCTCTGCTAAGCGCATTCCAAAATGCAGCCAGAATGGTTTTTAAATGGAAAATGAAATTTTATCTAGTAAAAGTTACTTGCCCTATTTTGTAACAGCCATTTGTGTTTAATAGCAATCATAATCATAATGATGATGGGTTCGTTCCAACAGGGAAGTTTTGTGAATGGAAGGCCCCTTACACTTACAGAAGTGAATGCAATACTACAAGTGCTTCTGCTGAAGGAAGGGGGCAGGAAGCTCATCTTTGCCAATCTCCTTTTCCTCTGCTAGATATTTCATCTCAGAAAGTAGGATAGAGATGGCATCTTAACTAATTATGTAGGTATGAACAAATCTCCCAGCTTTGATGCCAGGATTCCCAACCCTTCTCCCAAATATCATTAGTTACATTTGGACCCCCCTTCCCCCTAAATATAGTAACAAGAAATCTAACTATTCTTTCATAGCAAATGTTACCTCATCAGGACTAGCAGCTTGATATACCCTGCAAGAATCTTCATAATGCCTCTCGGCTTCAGCCTGATCTGTCACACCATTTGATTCATACACAGGCGTTACATTGTGGCACAGGGCAATTGCTTTCACTGCTTCATGGACTCGGCTGCTCAGGGTTTTTCGTACTTTAGTTGCCAAGGCAGGGCCTTTTAAAGCAGGCTGCTCCTGGGGCTGCTAAGAAAAGAGGAAAAACAAATATGTTAACTGATAGTACCTTGCTCCCATCAAAACCCTCCATTTGCGAGAAATGGGGAAAGCAGAGGATTGGGGGTTGAAATATTTCTACGTGTTGCCAACTGGGCCATATAGAAATGTAATAAACAAGCTGGAATTGGGGGCAAAATTATGCTGCAGAATCCTCAGGCCAGGAATTTCTTTGTAGAATTGGAGCTGAGCTCACAGCCCTTGTTATATAAAAATCCACTCCAATTTCCACTCACCCATACAACCTTTCTTTCAGCAGCTCAATGCAGAGGGCACTCAAGGCAGCTGTTGCTGCTGTTAAACAACTGAGGATCAGTTGCTGGTATTCTACAAATCACCTGGAGTGCTTCCAGGCAATGGTGTATCCTGGTATTGCCCTGGCTCACTCATGGAATTCTATGGAATTCTATCCTTTCTCACTAGAATGTTAAAAAAGCCATGCTGGATCACAGCAAAGGTCCATTCATTCCAATTTGGTCCAGCTGCCCACAGGATCCCACAAACAGGACATGAGTGCAACATGACCCTCCTGCCCATGTTCCCCAGCAACTGGCATTCATACTGTCTCTCCCACTGGAGGTAGCATCCACTCATTAGGACCAGTGGCCATCGATCGTCTTCTGCTCCATGAATTTGTCTCATCCACTTTGGTGGCCATCACTACATCTTTTGGAAGTACATGCCATAGTTTAACTATGCTCTGAGTGAAGAAACACTTCCTTTTGTCTGTCTTGACTCTCCCACTAATCAATTCCTTGGGATGACCTGAGATTCTAGTATTATGGAGAAAAATGTCTCTCTATCCACTTTCTTCACACCTTACACATTTCTGCACACCTCTATCTTGTCTCCCCTCATTTGCCTTTTTTCTAAGCTAAAAAAATCTCAGCTACTGTAACCGTTCCTTTAGAGGAGTTAATGCCTGAATTGTTTTAGCTGCCCTTTTCCGCACTCTTCCCTACTCTGCTCTTAATCCTCCTGAGTTTTCCTGTTGCATCATCCATTTTTAAAAAAAAAAACATAGAAGATCTGTTATGGAGAAAAAGATAGAAAAACTGCAAAATGACTCCTAGTTGGGGATGCTTCCAGATGGAGATTCCCTACTGATAATACACACATGACCAGAGAGGTGAGAGATCCACTTAATCCTTGAGATCAGCCATTAAAGCTCTGTAGTTTTCAGGTCAGCTCCACAGTTGATTGAAACAAAGCATTTAGTGTACCAGTACCTACTATGTGGAATAATTTTACCTGCAAGACTGGAAATGTGCCAACTTTTTATTTTTAAGATGTTGAAGATTCATCTGTATACAAGACCATTCCTTGGGTAGTTTAGCCTACCATCCTATGGATGTGGAGATACAATGATCCTATGTATTGATTTGTATATTTCTGTTGGGTTTTTGTGTGTGTTTTGTATACATTGGTTTAATATCTCTTGACTTAAACAGTCAATGAATACTCCTAAAGTAAACAATTGCAAAACTGAGGTTTGTCATACCTTGGGCACATCATGAGAAAGCAAGGTTCACTGGAGAAAATAATCATGCTAGGGAAACTTGAAGGCAGAAGAAGAAAAGGAAGACCAAGCATGAGACGGATTAACTCCATAAAGGAAGCCACAGCCTTGAATTTACGAGAGCTGTGAACAGCTGTTGAGGGCAGGACGTGTTGGAAGGCATTTATTCATAGGGTTGCCATCAATCAAAGACAACTTGAAGGCACATAACAAAAACAACGATAAAACAAGAAGTGTAAATAAAACCCATGGTGCAGCTACTCCATCTTTATTTTTCCTTAGCAGATTTTAAAGTAAGAAAAAAGACTGAAGCAGCAGTGAGAAAACACAGGAGAGCTGCAAACAGAAAGCTATGCAATCTGGACTTGCTGTAAAATTTTGAGAATGTGGCAGTAGAAAGCCAACTGCATGGTAAAAGTCTCATCTGGAAGTTGCTTGGTAGTGGAAGACATCCTCCATTTGGGAGAAGCCTTAGAGCCCAGCATTTAGTTCCAATCTACCTTGTGCCTGTCTCATGTTAGAGCAATAAAGGAACTCCCTAACATTTGCACAAGAGGTTCAGAGAAGTAGGCATCATATAGACTCACTATACATTTAGCCTCTGAAGTTCAGCTCCATACAGCATACCTTTCAGCAAATCCCCTAATTTAGCAAGAGTCTGAGCATTTGGAACAAACTGGATTTTATACTTATAAAGCACAGTCACTGAAAATGAAAAAAACAGATGGGCTGACATGGCAGTGGAAAGCCAGTTGTTTAATTTTTAATACTATTTTTAGATTCCTGCATCAGACCTTCCAGGTAATTTTACAATTACTAAATTATGCCGGTCACAGGGGGAAGATATAGCCATCCAGTTTCCTGCTCTGTTAACCTCTCGTGTCAAGAGGACAAAAGTTTCACTTCCAGGTCAAAGGGCATAGCATGGTAACAATAATTAGAGCAATGAATCAGAACTACAGTTTAAATGAATCATGGCCAGCAAATGCTTCCAATTAACAAAGAATCCAACCTTTTAATTATATTTAAACTTATACTCACTGAGAAGCTCCCTTTACCACTGGTAAGCACTACTTTCCTGTTATTAAATAAAACTATATTAGTTAGATGTGGTTTTCGATGACGGTCGGTATCCTGGCTTGAATGAGGACAGCCTCAGGGGAAAGGCACACATTACATTAAAGGCGCTGCAAGCAGCTATGTATGTCATTTGTTCTGTGTTTCTCTAGTGTAAGGGCAGGCCTTCCACTCTGGATTGGGATCCTAGAGTAAGGGTTAAGGATGTTTGAACCCCTATACCCCACACGGATCTGGGTTGCAAATGACATTGCAAAAATGGCAATCTACCTGAGCTAATGGATCACTATTTTGCACTATCTATTTTGCAGGTAGAGGGGCACTGATCCAGATCAGGACAACAGCAGAGGGTCCCAATCCAGATCAGGGTGGCTTGTAGTTATGCTATGCTAAAATAAATAAATAAATAAATAGCACTTGCCCATTTTTAATGTAATGTCTCTTTTAACTGACAGTTAATACCACAGAAGTAATAACAAAAATAATGAATAAAAAATATCATGCAGATCTACTTGTCACATGCCCAGGAAGATTTCCTCACTGGTGGCTTTCAGATGTGTTGGATTACAACTCCCAATATCCCCAGCCATCATGGACACTGGAGAGCAACAGATCTGGAGGACACCAGCTTGGGAAAGTTACTCCAAGGTAATGTGTAACGGTGAAATTCTATGCACACAACAGGGGGCTGTACCTATTCAAGGGTCCCTGATCATGTGCAAAGAGCCCATTTGCACCCATGTCACCAAAGCCCTAATTTAGCTGAGTGATCCGTTTTTTACTTCTTTGAGCAGATAGCCCTGCCATACCCCACCCAAATATTACATCACAGAAATTCCCTTTGATTTCCAAAACACTGTGCAAGGTAGCAGAGAATGTTATGCTATACCAAAACCAAGTCATGAAAGTACTATCCCATGGTCTTACCTGAGTATATATGCTAAATATATGACTCTGAACTTCATCCATGGAGTCTAGGCCATAAGCTACTGTTCCAAGATGAAGGCGTTTGAAGACCATCTCATTCTGTGTTAGGGTTCCTAGAACAGGAGCAGAATTCTAAGTTATAGACCAAACAAGGGATGCTGTTTCAAGTGACTGAAGGGGCTTCACAAAGAAGAAAGCCAGGATCTCTCCATCATCCCAGAGTGCAGGACATAGAATAACGTGTTCAAAGGTTACAGGAAGAGAGATTCCAGCTGAACATCAGGAAGATTGTTAGAGCAGCATGACAATGGAACCAATGACCTAGGGAGGTTGTGGTCTGTCCCACACTGGAGGCATTCAGGATGCAGCTGGACAGCCATCTGAGAGGGATGGTTTAACTTAGAGTCCTGTGCTGAGCAGGGGATTGGACCCAATGGCCTTCCTAGCCCTTTTCAACTCTACCATTTTATGATCCTGCAAATATTTTGCCCTACATTTTGATGCATGATGAAAGGAATGGTCACAACACACCTAGCTTTTCATCTTATCATAAAATGGCTATGTTATTCCACTTCTAAAGATAAATTGTGAAACAGCCCTTAGTGCACAGACTAACAGCATAATCCTACACAGTGCTTTTTTTGTCATAGAATGCACAGGAATGGAGTTCCGGCACCTTTTTTCGACAGATTTTCCCAAGTTTTAAAAGTAACTTTTGTAAATTTGATGTTTGGTCCATGTGGATTTGAATCACCCTGTTGGCGGCAAAATAATTAAAACGGTGCATGTGGGCTGCTTGTGTGTCGAATCCGATGCATGCGTACTTCGTCCGCACAGGTTGTGATGGCTGCTCGGCTTGTGACTGGTCATGTGGTGGCATGCTGAGTGCTTACTGCGGGCGGCAACCATTATGTTTCGTTACACAACTGACGTGTGTGGGTGTGTGTACAGTGATTGACTATGTGCGAAAGATAAATACTTTCATGAGTTCCGGCACCTTTTTTCTTACAAAAAAAGCACTGATCCTACGCATGTCTATTCAGAAGTCTCATTGAGTACCATGTGATTTGTTTCCAGGTGTACATGATTGCAGACAGAATATGCACAACTTACAGGATGGGGGTGAACAACTTCCAGGAGTGGCATTGCTCCACAGAGAACCCGCTGGGTGCTGCATCCATGCCCTGACTGGTGGGTGGGGGGGCACTAAGGGTCCATAGACTGTGTGTTGCTCAGCCTTGCAAAAAGAAGCTGCTAACTGATCACAACTAATAACCTGAGGCCAGTTTATGACAATGTCTTAATCTACATTTTCTGGGTGGGATGGAAGTACCTGAACCATTTGGGTACAGTTCCCCCCCCCCAAATTTTGAAAACAAACAAACAAAAAAAAAAGGTTGAAAAAAATGACCCATTTAAACTTTCCCCAGGAATCAGAATGTCTTGGACTAAATTGCAGCTTCTGAAGGCCTATGGAAGCATGGTAATAATTTTGATGTGCCAGGGAGTGGCTTACAGCACAATCCTATACACATTCGCTCAGAAGGAATTCCCACTGTGCTCAGGAGGGCTTTCTCCCAGGTAAGTGGGCATAAGATTGCCACTATACATATGCTTGCAAACTGTGGCATCTAAGCCCCTGGTCTGGACTGTGAGGCCCACAGGATTCTGGTGGGTCAGAAAAATTCAAGTAGAGGAGTGAGAGAAGCAGCAAATTGCACGCTGCCTCCCATTGCCAAGAGTATTCCCTCCCTTTGCAGCATCTGACATGTCTCTCGCTACCTGCCCAACCTGTTACCACTGCAAGCTCTGAAGAGCAGCATTGGCTAGAAGAGCCAATGACTTCTAATGACTTCTTTGAGGACCTGCCTACCCGCACAGCAGACTCAGAAGGAAGAATGGAATGGACTGTATCTGCCAGCTCGGAAATGACAAGCAAGGGTTCATAGTGAAAATGCTCCTTTGCACTACAAGTTCCCTGGAAATAAAACACCATTGCTGCAGGAATCAGGCCCACAGGGAAACAGCCTCTTGTTACTTGCAGGGAAAGTAAAATATGTCAGCCCTTGTTTGCACTCTGAAATGCAATGACCCTGCTCTCTGAAGTTTTCATAGGTCAAATCTCTTACATAGCCACTTCTAACAAAAGTTTTTATGCAACAACCCAATTCCTTCTCTTTCAAAGTTTGAATATATTCATTGATTTCAAAGACTTGTATCTTGCCCTTCAAATTCCCCCTACCCCAGAGAGCCAACATCATAACAATAGCTTTAAAACTATGCAAATATACCTGTTTTATCTGTAAGTAAGTAGGATATCCGTCCGAGTTGCTCTGGAATTGTGCTGGATCGAACCACAGTGCCGGGAATTTTAGAATCCCTCCGGATCATCCAGCTGTAGACAATTTTTCCCATGTCAAGATTCACACGTAAACTGTGTGGAAGGAAAAGATGGCAAGAAAAAGAATTAGGGAACAATGCTTAAACACTATAAATTTGCTCAAACATCTTCCCTTCCCCCAAAAAAACACACACACACAAAACAAACAAACCATGAAGTTCTTTAAGAAAATGCAGGCCCAGAACTAGAGGCAGGAGTGAGGGAGAAGTTCCCTCCCCTCAGCAAGCAATTTGTTTCTTTCTTTCTTACAACTGCTGTGTATGTAAATAGCCTGCTGGGGAAGTGACTGTTCCCTTTGCCTCCCCTGTATTTAGACATGGGAAAATATGGATTTGGCTCTATCTGTTGGCTAAGGAATCAAAGTCACTGAGTTCTAGATGGTCAAATAAACCAACAAGGAAAGGTAAGCTTGGACCGAGGTTCATTTAAATGCTCCCCCATAGCTCCCTACCTCATTCTGGCATTGAAAAATTGGTCTATCTCCTCTTCCTTTTTCCTCCAGTACCCACTTCCTTGTATTTCTTGACTTGTTTGCTTGCAACCCTAATGGCACAGCACCCCCCCTTTATTGCTGTGAGACACTTTTGGAGACACTAATTGTCTCCAAAGTGGAATAAAATAAAGTGAAATAAAGTGAAAAGTGGAATAAAAACACCTGCAATAGCCAGTTGTGATTCAGACATATGACTGTCATTTGTTTCTGGCACCAGCTCTTCCACTGAATGGTCCATGTGTATGAGCACAGCACTTAGGTAAACATACACAAAAAGAATCCAAGGCCAGGATCCAAGGTAGCACTGGGATCTACAAGGAAACTGCAAGGAATTTGTTTCAGGCTGTGAATCCATCAGATTCTGAAAGGGTTTGTCCCAAGCACGGTGCTGAGCTAACTTCATGTAAGTTCAAGGAAGCTCTGAGTTGATGTGTCTCAAGAAGCCCATCACTTTTCCAGAAGACATGTGATATTGTACTAGGATTCTCTCCAAATAAAAGATACCTTGTGGCATGCTCAAGCCTGAATTAGGTCTTTGGCCAAAATTAGCACGGAATGAAACAAGTGGGTCAGCCTGAAATGGTGAATCAGTCATACAATCCAGCACAAAGTTTCTGGCATGATAGAGGAGATCTATGAATGAGCAGGAGGCTCTTTGTCTCTTGTTTTGAAAGGCTGAAGATGCTATGAAAGAAGGATTCCCACTTCAGATCAGACTGTGGCGTTTAGTGTGGAGCTCCACACACTGCATGAAATCAGTCCCACAAAGCTGCCACTTCCCCCCATGGCTTGAATGTTCCAGCACTTCATCCTGTGAAATATCCCTTGCCCTTACAGATTAGTACGTTGGAATAAAAGTTCTAGGTGAGTTTCAAGCATATAAGGGAATATTTTTATGCACAGGATCATTTAAACTGTCTGTACCTTAGTTCAGATACAACAAGTCACGGTTTGCTGTTAACATGAACAAGCTGGTACAGACCTCAGGCCTGTGCGCTAACCTCTCCACTTTGCATGTGCAGACATGCAAAAGAAGGGAGTTGAATCTCATGCTGTGTGTCCCAGACCAGCTCTCTGCATTTGCTCAGGAAGCCAAGATCACCTCCTATGGGCCCTTCCTGAATTGATTCCCATCTGTGGAATCAGCTCTGCAAAGAGGAGCCATTTTTTCTTCCCTTCATCACCAGGCAACCCCCTTTTTATTTTCCCAATATTTTAATAGAACTTTATTCTCATTTTTATATTTATACAGCACCTCTAAGATTGATGGAGCTGCGAGGCTATAATAATATAATATGGAAATATTGTATTAGTGTATTTTATGGTGATTTATGATTGTTTTATATTTATTATTGAATTTTGATTTTGTAAATCACTTGGAGAGCCTTTGAGCTCATATGTAGTATACAAATATAATAAACAAACAAACAAACAATTCAGCCCTTAGAGAGGTTTTGAGCCTGATTTAAATGTCCAATCTTGGTAAGCAACAAAATGTCACTTGTTGCTGCAGAAAAATGGATTTTCTCAAACCACAGTTTCTTAGGAAGTGAACCAATGAGGATCTAGTTTGAAGCCAACTAAGAATGGGAGCATAAGCTCTCTTCCCTATGTACACAAAGGGGAAGGCTGGGAGCACACCAGAGTGAGATTCTGGCTGGCTTGTGCAATTGTGGTGTGAAATATGATCCTCCAGACATCAGTACATACATCACATGAAGCTTCCTGTTCAGCTTTTTCAATTCTTAATTAAGGAACTTTCCCATGAAGAAATCTGCAGTAAAGCCATCATGTGAATTTGGGCCAACTGTTTATGACACGCTGTACTTTGTGCCACGAGCTGCAGCAGAATGACCCAAGTTAAATATGGTGTTACTTAAAGGGTTCCCTGCTTCTAGGGCAGGCACTCATACCTTATTGGAATGATATTTGAGAAAAGAAGAAGAAATCGGATGATCTGAAGGTACCAGCGGCCAGCAAAATGTTGGAGAGCAACCATGACAAGAGAGACCACCACCAGGGCCCCAAAAAGAATCTTGGTGAGGCAGTTGACTTCCAAGTCGAAGAGGCCAATCTGCAAGGAGAGAAGAAACTGCTTGCAACATAAAACAGTCTTGAGTTGCCACTCTCACAACACGATATGGCAGAGTCACGTGGTGGTCTTCAAAACACACTAGAGGCCATTTTGCTTCGGATGGAAAAGCAACTCAGCATGATCACCACTTCCAGCTTCTCTATTCAGAATGGTTGGCTGCAGGTGCCAAGTGGTGCAAATGTGTGGTAGAAAATTCCATTCTGTTTCATGTATTATGAGCCAATGTGGTGTAGTTGTTAAGAGCACAGAACCGAGACTCAGGGAATCTGGGTTCTAGTCTCCACTCAGCCATGGAACCAGTTGGGTGACTTTGGGCCAGACAGACTCTCAACCCAACCCACTTCACAGGGTTGCTGTGGTGAGGATAAAATTGAGAGCAGGAGGGCGGGAGGGGGGAGGGGGAGGGGGAGGAGGATTTGAGTTCCTTAAAAAAGATGGGATATACATGTAATAAATAAATACATATTGCCCAATAGCCAAAGCAATCTAAAAGATTAAATATATGAAAAATACAGTATTTCACATAACCTAAAAATTTTTGCATATGCACATAAAGGAAGCACATACAAAGACATGGATATAAGTGTGCTATATGTAATTAACCCACTTTTGCGTTACTTGGTTGTCTGTACAGGCATCATCAAAGGTCTGTCTAGTCCAGCATTTTGTTCACACAATCAGCTGCTCATGGTAATTCACAAGCAAGATATGGCTTGCTAGGGAATTCTGGGAGTTGTGAGACTGTTATCCATCTAAACATGCATAGGATTGCACTCTTACTTGGATAAGAAAACCTAACACAACTAGCATGAATAGAGCCTAGAAACTTAATGGTCTTGGGATGAAAGATCAAAAGCTGGTTTGGGTGGTATCCATGTGAGGACTCTAATGTATGAAATCACCCAAATAAAAAACACCAACTAAAATGCTGCAGTTTTAGTTGAATAGGTAAGATATTTGAAATGCACATATTAGTGCCCATGTGACCAACACATACAGCATGTAGGTACAAGTCAAGCAGCCAGGACTGATGGTGGATCTTTTAGAAGTTCACATTCAGTGGCAAGCTCCTCCTGAAACCAGATCTTGCCCTTACCTTACTCCGTGGATTTGATGTGTTCATGACACTGCGCAGCTCACGACCTGTGTACAGAACAACTCCCACAACTGTTCCTGAAGGAAAATAAGGACTACAGTGAAAGGGATTTTTTTTAAGTGTAAAGAAAAGCGTGTTTAAAGGGGGCAGGGAAGCATGACACGTGGAAATCAATCCTATTTTTTAATGAATAGGCCCAGGGAGAAACTTGATTCAGAGACAGTTGTGCATATATATGTGAACAGGTTTAAGAATTTGGTGCTATCTATACTTCCACAATTAGGCTGTGTTTCCCTGCCAGCACTCCATGCACACGTTATTTATACAATTTCACTTATATCATTTCTTGATCACCTTTCTGCCAGGTGGTATAAGCACTGGTCTGCTTAGTGACACTTAGAGAATTTATGTCTCACTCATCAGTGTTAGCACTCCCAGGGTGCCTTATAACAATACGTACAGAATAAAATAATAAAATCAACCCTTTAATTTCCTGATTCCCACCACGCCCAACAACTATAAATAGTCTCTTTTTAGTGCCAAGAGGACGTAAGTGTAGACAAACTCTCTGAGGAGAGGATTCTATATGCAGGGCATTGCTGTTAATGTATTTTCACTAGTCTTCACATACGTATTGCCCTGAAGAAGTACACCTATATGTGATAATGGCTAAAAGAATAGCACTTACATCATATAGAATAATAGCAAATTCATTCTTAGAATATCATCCCTTATGTAGCCAGATCAAATTCATGCAGAAAGAAGAGAAATCAGCAGGTCTGGGGGAATCTCAAGTCTTGCAAAAATTAGGGGAGGGGAGGGGAATCACAGGGACTGCCCCCAAAAGCATGCACAATGGCCACAAAATTCTGTGGTCATGGGAAATCAGTTCAGCAATATATTTATTACAGCTAACTGAAATGTCACCAACTTGTGCAAGCTTTCTAGTCCTCAAGATCTCTTCATCAACCTAGGTGATATAAAAAGCAGAGGATAGGGGAAGGAACAGAACACTTTCTTAGACCAGATGTTGTGGCCATGGGACTCACTCTCAAAATGGAAAACTGGAGGTGGTGCTGGAATATAGGAGGCACCTGAAGCTTCTATCTGGTGCACTCTTCTTAAACCCTCAGTGTGAGAGAAAAACTGTAAGTACAGAGGCAGATGCATTAACTACCCCAGTTAAGAAAAAAGGATCTCTTTCTTGCAGAGCACCTATTAGAAAGCTCTTTAACTGCTTTTAACTTCTGCATGATACATCTGGTCTTGCTTTTTCAAGATGCTCCTTCTAGGGAGCTACAAATCCCAGGGGGTGACTGGTTACTTGGAGACCTTTTATCCTAGCTTCCATTTATAATCACTCTAACACCCTTTTCTGTTACAGATTTAAAATGTCAATATTGAGAGCAATTAAGTGCTATTCTAGCAGGGAATGCTTTGCCCAAAGGTTACTGAAATTCCAAAGGCCTTCTCATCTATAAATGCCCAGGGGGCTAATTAGATGTCAGCTCAAGCTCCCAAGCACTGTTAGAACAAGTGAAAAACTTCATTCTGACCACTAATTTCCATTGACAAGAAATTGTTATTTCAATTACGTAGAAATTTTTTAAAAATTGCTAACATATACCTTCAGAAATTCAGACATACTTTGGCCTTACCTGAAGCAATTACTGTGCTTGCCCACAGGGTATTTTCAATGCTTAAGCTCTCATTCACAGGGGGGTCACTGTCCTCCTAAACAAGAGAGTTATCAAAAAAAGTAAGGGAAAAGAAAAGCAAAAATGTTAAGAGGGGGCCCTGTTCTAACAACAATAGCTGCATCAGTTTGAGTTTCATATAAACCATCAGAGATGGGTAGATTTTGCAACACTTTTGCTCCTAGCCTTCAGATACCTAAAGGGTATGATGTTTAGTGCCTCTTATCACAGGTGTAAAACCAACACTGAACCCACATCAACATTCAAAGCTGATGTGATGTAGTATCTGAAAAAACCACAATACATTATCAGCTCATTAAATAAAGTGACTGGATTTGTGTATGAAGGTGAAAGGTTCAGAACACAGGTTGTAGAGGATATAGTCAAAGGTAGAGCATATGTTTCCATGCAGAAGACTCCAGGTTTAATTCTGGACATCTCCACTTTAAAAATGGATTAGAGAGCAGGTGATGTAAAAGATGGTGACCCGAGACTCAGGGAAATCACTGCCAGTCAGCTATGACATTGTCAGATGCTTCTATCAGAGATTACAAACTTTCACCTATACAACTTCAAGAAGAGCTCACTAAGGACAAAATCCTATGCACATGAGCTGGAAATTTGTACCCTAACATTTTTAAAGCAGATCAAACATCTTCCCCGCTTCACCGTCACAAGAAAAGGAAGACTATTATAGAAAGTCTACTTTGTAGTGAGCAGCAATGAAGAAAAAGTTTGACTCGACTTGATCTGGGACCAACTTGTGCAGCTTTCTGTTGGTGCAGAGTATTTGCCAAGCTCTCATCAGCTTTCTAAATTTGAACGCATCCATTTTCTTTCTGCCAGCTTTCTTCATTGCCCAGCTTTCACACCCATGCATAGTGATTGGGAATACAAGAGTATGGATGATCTTGGCCTTGGTCTCCACTGAAACATCCTTACACTTAAGGATCTTGTATAGTTCCTTCGTTGCTACCCTTCCTAGTCTCAGCCCTCTTCAATTTTTTTAACCACAATGTCCCTTTGAATTGATGACTGAATCAAGGTATGTGATATCTTTAACCATTTCAATTTCTTCACTTCTGCCTTTAACTTTGTGTGATTCCCTGGAATGTTTCAGTACCCAGCACCACCCTTGGGCTCCACGTCCTAGAAGGAGTGCAATTTTCAGTTGGAACATAGCTGAGGAGTGAAGGGATATGTCTTCCTTTGTGAGATGGACCAGTCCTATGAAGGAAGTCACAGCCTTGAGTTCACAAGAGCTGAGCAGGGCTGGAAGGGCAGGACATCTGGGAGGGTATTTTTTCATAAGGTCACTTTAATTTGGAGGTGGCCGCATGTAACAATACACCCCATGTATTGTTTCATTCAAAGCAAGAAAGGTCCTATGCTCACTGTGTGACTATAGTTAATCTAACAAAATACGTAAAAAATTAAAAAAAGATGTAGCTACATCATAATGTATAATTTGACCCAAAGTCTGAGGGACACTGAGAATTCTCTTTATTACTGTTAACCTATATACTATGTTTGAACTCTTCCTCCAAATATGGGTCATAATTCAACCAAAATAACTAGATACAGCCAAGAGGGAGGAATCAGCAGGCATGACTGTGCAGTTTAATTACCATGCTCAGTGGGCATAAAATGTTGACTTGTAAGGACACTGGAGAAGGAAAACTGTGAAGGAAGAGGAATGGTACGAAGTATTTTGAATTAAGGCATGATTGGCTCACTTGAAACTGAAGTACTTCAACAATCCACGCTGCGTATTTTTGGGATCACTCCATGTTGCAAAATTTAGGTGCCTCATCTATAACATGCTCTTTTTGTTATGTCTCCTAGAAATACAACTCCAGTTTTATGAGCCTTACTCTTTCAGTCTTGCTTCATGCTAAACATCCCCAGTGCCTTTCGGGAAAAAATGGGGAAATTGCCTGTAAGCCATGATCCGTGTGTCACAAGTTTATATTTCATTTTTCTCAATGTAAAGGCAGCCACTTACTCTAGTAAATGTTCCAACAAAGTTGTGGATGTCAATGTTGGGCTCTTCTGCATACACGTAAGATCGGATCTGAAGAAGGTCCTGCATGAAGGATTCAAAAGTACAAAGTAACATGTCCAAGGTAATATGTGTACATAGGATTAAAATCTTTGCTTGCTCCTCTTTAAAGTCAGCCTCCTTTCCAAACAAACGACACACACTTTAAGACAGAAGTTGGACACCTGCAGCTTAGCAGCCACATACGCCCCTCGGCTTGCTTTCATGCAAGTGGAAGGATCCCAGAAGGGGAAAAGGAGAAGAGGAGAGGAGGGAAACAGGGACTGCAAAATGGACAGGGGGAAAGGTCTCTAAAAGCAATCAGTTTTGATCTTTGTCAACAGTGACCCTCCCTCCAGCTGCCTGCTGAGCTGGAGAAAGGAAAAGGGGTGACCTGCCCATTTGTGGCTGCAGGCTGCCACAGTCAATATGTAATAGATTGCCCTCAAGGGAATACTGTGCTCAGCAGAAAGAAAGGTCCCCGCCCCTGCATTAGGAGGAAAACAGATGAAAAGAACCCTATTTTTATTTTTAGTTATTGTTCATCTAAATAAGGAATGGGCATATAAGAAATGGGCATGTGTTTTGCAGACGAACTGTGGCCTTCTCTGATCTGATCTTTTTGCACACCCACTAACAAAACTGCCATTAATATCCTGTAGCACAGCATTCAAAAAGAGTTCGTTTTCCCTTGTCTCCCTCCAGTTTGCTGCTAAAATTTGTTGGAAACCAGGTGGAGCTCTTTATGGAGGCAGCAGCCACCAAGGAAAAGATCAGCCCCTCTTTTATCGTTGCGGCACTGAATGTCAGTGGAAAGCTCAGCACTGGAGGGGTGGCAGTGGACATGGAGGGCTGGTATTGCCCCATGGATCCCTGGAATTTAGCCACCCTGATCTAAATGGCTGAGGTGGCATTCGGAAAAGGCATTGCTGTCCCCAACATTTCTTTCATTTCAAGAATGAAATACACTGCAGAAAATGTGTCCCTTACAAAAAGGGCTGTTGGGAAGTTTAATTCTGCCTGAATTTTAGATGGTGATGTTTATGAACAATGACCACCCCCAAACTAAAAATCTGTACGTACAGAAGCAGTGGGCAACCTCTGAGTGCAGCTGACCGGCAGGCGTAACTTCCAGTCTGTTTCACCATCCAGCTGATCCGTACGGAGAAAGCAGGACCCTGGGGACATTTAATCTGCATTGCTATTCAAATTCTGCCATAAAGGTACCAACTTATTGGAGACCGATCCTATCAGGGTAACTATGATCTCACAAGTTTTGTATTAGAACATAGTGGGGGAACTGTAGTCCAGTGGTACACCACACGCTTTAACCATGTAGCACAGGGGTGGCAAACCTATGGCACGCGTGCCGCAGCGGGCATGCAGAGCCCCCTCTGTCAGCATGTGAGCCAAGTTGCCCCAGCATCGCCCCAGCAGCCGAGCATCGCATAACAGCGCACATAGGGGCCATGCGCATGCTCAGTAAGGAGTAGCGGCACCGGGTGATGACTTCACGAGCCGCGACTCATTAGTCGCAACTCATCTGAGCTTTTGCATGGCCAGTCAGTGCGCTGCCAAGGATATATATATATATATTTGCTTGGACTGGCTGTGAGTTTTAATACATTTGTTTTTATTAACACAAGATTTTAGCTTTGAGTTTTCTTATGAAAAATTGAAATTTAATATCTAAGATTTAGCAAAGAGATGTTCTAATTAAGAGACTGAGATTTGTTTAATGCTGTGCTGTCCCACTGGCATATTTGAATCTGCAGCATTACATTCAAGTTTTATTGCTTGAATAAAGTTGGCACTTTGAGATAAATAAGTGGGTTTTGGGTTGCAGTTTGGGCACTTGGTCTCTAAAAGGTTCGCCATCAGTGATGTAGCATATTCCATTTTACATTTCAGACGCACAAAGGCATATTCAGATGTGTTTTTCAGTGCCCTGAAGCACTAATTAAAGAGTGCTGTGCAGTTTCTATCAATATGGTGCACAAGCCTGAAAATTTACTACATTCATATTTGTTTCCCTCTTGCAAAGAACATCTGGCATGGGCCTCCTTCACTCCGTTTTATCCACATAACAACAACCCAGTGATGTAGGCTAGACTGAGAGGGAGTGCCTTGCTCAAAGCCACCTAGTGAACTTAGTAAAGACTAGAACCTGGATCTCCCGAGTCCCAGTCCAAGATCCTAACCATTATGCCACACTGGCTCTTGCAGCTATATGAGCATATCATTAAAAGAAGAAAAAAGGGGACAAAGATTGGAACCATACATTGTTCTTTGACCCACAATTTGCAGAAACAGAGTCAGAACAATGTATGGTTGCTTAAACTGCACAAACATACATGATTTGCATACATGTTTGCATAATTTACAAAATGTATGTTTGCTTAAATGCATGTAGAACAATGTATTTTTACTTAATTTACACTAATCTCATAGATTGAAGTCTATTTCAAGGCACAGTAGCCTTGAAATAGATGCCCTGTGGTGAAGATAAAAACCAAAACAAAACAACATTCCTCAACCTGGCACCCTCCAGGTGCTTTGGATCACAATTCCCATCATATTTAACCACAGTACCCATGCTGACTGATAGGTGCTGTGTTCCAAAACCATCTGGAGGGCACCAAGTGTAAGGCAAAATGCTGTTTACCTAGTTTCTTGTAATGCCTCATTCTATTAGTTGCTACCAGCCATAGTGGGCTGCTTCCTTCCGTATCAAATGGAAGCAAAATTATTCCAAGTGCATTCATCCAGCCAGTCTATTCCCAGGGGTGTGCTGTGAGCAGAGGTTTTACCATTCACTTTTACCATCACTCACTTTTTTGTTTAGTCAAAGGCTTGCAACTCAATCACTCCAGTGTTGGGGACAGCTCTATGTGTGCCCCACCTCCACCGCACTTCTGATCTGGGTCATCGTGTCTGTATGACCCGCAAATAATTTGACTGTGGCCACCAAGTCTGTAATATGACTGCACTTGAATAAACAGAGCCACCAGCTGCAATTCACTTGATAAATATTATCACACACAGGCAGGGTCCCCCTGTCTTTTAACCAAGCCATTTTGAAAATTGCACTTTCCTTTTCTTGCACTTGTACTGAGGACCAAGTAAATAAATATGGGAAGGAGCCTCAGGATCACTGAGCATATCCATTCAGCTTTTACGAGACACACTGTTCATGCTTTCTGAATAAACAGTGACACACATTAGAAGACAAGTCAGCAAAGCAAGAGTGAGTGACTCCCCTCCATGTTAATCTCCCTGTTCCTCACATTGCTTAACCTTACACAACGGGAGACACCACACAGAACAAACTATCTCTTTGTTTTAAGCCACCGTAGACTACGAAACAAGAAGGATAACCAAGTTATCTACTTTGGTTACATTTTCAAAATTATTATTTTGTCCCAAACTGATCAGAGGTTAATGGCTTTTGTCATAATTGGTTCCAGATGTTTACCATTTTTTTCCGATGTCCTCAGAAAGATCATGTCAGCTGGGACCCGCTGGTTCTGCAATGCAAAAAGATAGACAGTTACTGGACATGCTGTACACAGTCTTAACTGGAGATCTGCCTGAAGCTAAGAGAGGAGGAGGAGGTCTTTTAGCAGAATTCTTTAGAATAGAGGTCTTTTGTTTTATGCACGCCTCACTAATAGTTCTGATCCAGCTTATGTCAGGGCAGAGCTACTTATTACACACGTGTACGGCATCAATTTAAAATGGCTTCCTGAAGCTGGTGCTGACAGATGCTTTGGAGATAATGGATAAACCCAACGCCCGTCAAGTCCAGCATTCCCTTCATACAGCGGCCAGCCAGCTGCTTGTAGAAAACCCACTGGTAGGGCTTGAGTGCAATAGCCCTCTGCTACCCAAGCTGTCCAGCAACTGGTGCACAGAGGCATGTTGTCTCTCATTCTAGAGGCAGCATATAGCCATCAGGACTGGTAGCCATGGAAAGCCTCCTCTTCCATGACTGCACCCCACCCCCTTTTGAAACCATTGCTACATCCTGTGAAAGTGAATTCTGTCATTTAATATAAGTCCCTTCAGCCTTGGTCCAAAAATGTCTGGAGGACACCAGTTCAGGGAAGGCCATTCTGGAAGAAGCAAAGATGGGGAAAAGCCATTTGGAATGGTACTGCAGTCTGGAGGAGGGGAAGAGGAAGAGGAGCAGCTCTTTTGTCCAGTAAAATGTGCTTACCCCAAGAGTCCTTGCCAGGGCTTTCCCATCCTCAGTCATTTCAAGGGGGCAGCTTTTCCTTTCCCCCATATAACGGAAACTGCACTGTCTCCAGTGACTTGCATAGAGAAAAAGGTTGTATTCCCAACCACAGAGGAAGGGGAGTCCAGTACCCAACAAAGACTACTTCTTCTGGGGCAAGAAGGTAGGAGAAGAGAGTCTTTCTCCAAAGGGTCACCTTTAGGAAGATGTGACTCCTCTTAAGCCTTTGAAAGCTCCCTCCATACCTGTCCGCAGAGACGTCCCAGCCTGTGCTGACAGTGCAGGCTGGGGATTCTCTAAAAGGGAGCAGGTCTTGTTCAAAGAGGTCCAAAGCAAGGAAGATCCCCGCTCTGAACCCTCAACATGGATGCCAAAGCAAATTTAATTCCTTCCCATGCTCCCAAGGCAAGTCATGAGGTGCAGTTTACTTTGCCAGTCACTCAAGGAGAAGGTTCTTCCCCCAGCATTAGAAGATGCTTTGCAAATGCAGACCTACCTTTTCCACAATGATCAGGTCCCCCACTTGAATATTAGAACTTTTCACCTTGACAGTCCCTGTTTGGGGTTGGGTAGAGGAAGGAAATACAGATGCATCAATTACAATTATGCCATGTGGTTTATTTTGACAGCGCATTTTAAAAAGGAGGAGGTGCACCTGGCACCAGGTGAAAACCTTTTTATTTGCCATATATTTTAATAATAAGATCTGTTTTAATCCTGCTTTTATTATATTTGCTGCTATGGCAGGTATTGATTTCTATTTTAATTGCTGTAGGTTGTTTGAAAGTTGGTTTTATTGTTTTTGTTTATTTAAATATTGCTATTGTATCACTGCTTTGTGTTTTTAAAATTTTAAACTACCCAGAAAGCCCAATGAACCACAGGGAAGGATATGAATGAATGAATGAATGAATGAATGAGAGAGAGAGAGAGAGAGAGAGAGAGAGAGAGAGAGAGAGAGAGAGAGGATAATTTAAAAAAAATCTACAGTTTTTTTTTCCTTCTGAAAAAGCCATCCCTTAAGGAATCAAAAAGGATGGGAGTTAGAAGAAGGGCCTTCTTGGTGGCTGCCCCCAGCTTTGAAATGGGCTTCCTAAAGAAGTCTGCCTGGCACCACCACTACTTTCACTTTGATGCCAGGTAAAAACTGTCCTCTTTTGCAGATCAGGTGGTGACCTGATGTTACCATTGGATTATAGGAGCTAACTCTAACAGCAGGTTTTTTCTCTCTCCCCGCCCCGCCCATACTTGTAACTAATAATTGCAATGTTAGTCTGTATTTTAATGTTGTTAGCCACTTAGAGAACCCTATTGGGCCCTCCAGCAGCCTACAAATTTGAAAATAATAATGATGTTGTAAAAGAATCTTTCAGAAAACAGAATTACTTGAGCTTTAGGTTGTTTTTTCAATATACTGACTTATATCTACAGCAAATGTCAAGGGAGAAATTTTAAGAGTTATTGTTCCTTCTCTATCTCATAAGAATGAATACTTTTAAGACATCCTTCCTCAATTTGGTGCTCTCCAGTTACCCTGGACTAAAACCTCATCATCCCCTGCAACTTGGGCATGCTGCCAAGGAATGATGGGACTTGCAGTCTAACACATCTGAAGGATATTACATAGGGGAAGACAGATCTAAGATGCCACCTCCACCAGCTGGGGTTTTGAAGGCTTTCAGCCCAAGGGCTGAATTCCATTATGGAGACATTCCCAGGTCCCCTATTCCAGAGGTGGGTGGTGTGGAAGAGAAAAGCCATGATGAAAAAAAATACCAGAATACTTTAGCTTAAAACTCTGATAACCAAGCTTTAGGGAAGAATTTCAGCCTCTTGGAAAGAAACCCTGTTCAAAAGCAAGGAAACCTCTGTGTGATCTGTGGTTAGGGGAAAGAGGTTGGTTGGGAGAAGGGAAGGGGGCTTGGCTCGCTAAGGAAGCCTGGGGGAGATCTCAGAAGAGCCAAATTTGATCCCTGTGCTTCAGGGGACAAACTGCACCATATATAATATAAAATGAGGCAATGAAATGTTTTTGCCTCAAAACTATTGCTGTGTTTTCCTCATATACAAATTTAGCCAACAAATTAAAAACCTAACTAAAATTCTAAGAAGAGGCAGCTGGATTGAGTGTCTTGCAAAAAGGCTTCCCCAGATCACAGGGCTGGATGCTCTGGGAAACAGGATGCTGGTCTGGGCAAGGCTTTATGCTCTTAGGAACACCACAGATCACATCATTAGACCATCAAAATGAACAATGGACTCCATGAAGCTTCATGCAGTCAGCAATACACATTTAACAATGTACCCATCACTTGCTAATTATTTATTTATTGCAACAACTGGTAAATCCAAACACAGTAAGTATCACAGGGGATACCAATTCACTTATAGGAGGCTTGAACTAACTAATCACCTTCACACAACAGCCCCACTGGCTGTCATCCAAAGAGCCTGGCAGACAATGCAGATAGGAAATCATGCTGACTGGTCTCTGTCAATAATCTCACTGCCCCCTTTTGGACCAGCTGATGCTTCTGGACTGTTTTCAAAGGCAGATTCATATATAACCCAGTGCAGTAATTTAGCTAAGATGTGACCAAACCATGGATATCTGCAGCTACGATACTTCTGTCCAGATAAAGATGTAATTTGTTATATTAGCCTAAGCTGATAAAAGGTGCCCCATGCCACTCAGTCTATTTGTGCCTCTAGTGACAATGCTGGATCCAAGACCACCACCAAATGATGAACCTGTTTCTTTAGGGGAAGTGCAACTCCTTCCAGAACAGGTTTTCCTAGGCAGCCAGCCAGATTGTCTTGTCTGGATTGAGTCTCAGTTTATGCACCCTCATCCAAGCCATTACCATGCCTAGGCACTGGTTCAGACTATTGGCTGCATCACTAGGATTTGATGAGAGAGAGAGAGAGAGAGAGAGAGCGCGCGCGTGCGCGCGCGTATGCAAGAGCTGGGTGTCATCTGCTTCTTGATGGCATCCCAGCCCACACCTCTGAATAACCTCCTGCATCCATTTCATGTAGATGCTGAGGAACATAGGAGATAGAACCCTGTGCCAGTCCATGGCCTAACTGCTACGGGACAGAGCAATAATCCCCCAACATTTGGAACTGGCCACCTCCATAGGAGAGAAACCACTGCCAATACCTTCAAATCCCTGCCCAGATAGTCAGTCCAGAATGTTACCATGGGCCATGGGTCCTCAAACTATGGCCCGGGGGCCGGATCTGTCTCGCCGTGCCCCTTTATCTGGCCTGCCATGCCTATTGGACTCTCCGTGCGCACACCTGCGCGCCACCTGCCACCACCTCGCCCTGTGCGTGGGGAGGCAACGCTTTGCTTGCTTGGAGAAAACGACCTCCAAGTGAGCAAGCTGCTGCCTCGTGCACCTGCCTTGCGGTGCATGCCTGCTCCTGCCCACACCTCGCTTTGTCTCCCCTCACCACACGTGCATGCCCGCCTGCCCTCATGCGCCGGCGCCTCACCTCGCCTTGCCTCACCACGTGCCCCACCCCCATCTCACCGCACACACTCGCACGCGCTGCCCCCCGGCCCGGCCAGCGCGCACCGCCAGCACCACCTTTCCGGCCCGAGCCCAGCACCGACAGCTTTCAACTGGCCCCCTGGTGGAAAAGTTTGAGGACCCCTGCCATAGGCAAAGGCATGGAAAGTCACTGAGAAGTGCAAGTAAATCAACAGGTTGCACTCTCCCTTTTCCACCCCCAGCGAATATCATCCAAAACAGTGACCAAGGCAGTTTCTGTTCCAGCTTCTGCTCCTGAAGCCCAACTGAAATGTATCTAGATAATCAGTTTCATTCAAGAATGCCTAGAGTTGCCAGCAATCACCTACCCAGGCACCTTGACCAGGAAGAAAATGCTAGCAATTGGCCTCTCACTGTTAATATCTTCCGAGCCTGTGCTATGTTTTCTCAAGAACGGCCTAATAACCACCCCCCTTAAGCTGATGGGCACTGTTCTCGCTCTCTGAACAAGGAGCGGACATCCTCCCCGCCCCGGTCTGATACTGCATCCCTGTTAGATGTAATAAACCATGACAGCATGCAAGTGGTTGACTGGACTCAGCCAGGCTCCTTGTCTGGCTCCTTGGGCCTCAAAAGAAATGAAATGCATCCAGTCCAATGGAACCAGAGGATGCTCTGGGCGCTTGTACTAATGGCACTGTGTTAACTGCAGTGTGCAAGCTGTGATGAATGCTAGTGGTTGCAGAAACTCATCACAGTTCCCTTCGGAAGTTTCCACCATCTCTTAGGCCCTGATTGGAAAAGCCCATGAACTACTCAGAAAAGCTCTGTTGGAGGATACTGAGAAAATGCAATGCTGGTACAAAATAAATTCCTCTCTGGGACTCACCTCCACAAACGTAAGCTGTCCAGAGAGCCTTTTGGCTAAGGATGTGGCATATAAATGAAATGAATAAATGAGCATAAAATGAGGCTTGCTAATGTACTTCAAGAGTGTTCAACCCAACTTGTCTTGATCTTTTTAGTGCAAATGCAGCCAGTGCTAGCAGAAGGGAAATAATCCCCTACATATTTTCAGTGGCTCTTTGCAGCTCCTAACACTCAATGACCTGAATGTATTTAATATGCAAACTGAAAGTTTTTTTTTTAAGAACTCCATTTCCAAGAGCCAACAAAATCTACCTAAGCATCAAAGAGAGTTTTCATTTATTCTAACAAGCTTTTGTCTTTTAGGTGGCTTTATACTCTATGACTTGAGAAACACAGCACAAAAGGTTTGGGGAAAAATATCTATTTTACACAGCCGGTAAATTCCAATTGGCTGTATCCAGGAGCACTCTCTTCCCAGGAGGTCTCTTTGCATTTCATAGGGGTTTCTTAAAAAAAAAAAAGTAAAGTCTTACTAACATTATACTCAGTAATCTTGAAAGGTGAGTGGGAGGAGAAGCAAGAAACGAAAAACAACCCCAGAATTTAAAAGTACCCACTTAAAAAAGGAATCAAAGAGAAAATGAGCCTTAAAATGCAGTAGCAAAATTGGAATGAAGGATGAATGAATAGGAGGCTTAAATCTGATCTATGAGGATGGTTTAAAATTACATTCATAAATTCTTTTTGTTGATCCAGAACTTACTGGCAAAATAAGTCAGAAAAATGCAACCTGTGATGCCCTCTTTCTGGAAGGGGGTTATTACATAGATAAATTTGTAGTGGTACACTCTTTAATTTCTGGTACACTCTTTAAAATTATTTACACGCTACACTGAAATGTACGAATGGTGCCCACAAATGGATGCTCAGTTCCTACTTGACAGCTAAAAGACTGATATCACAACAATGGGAGGATAAACACTTATCTCTTATCACACAGTGGATTGAAGCCCTTATAACACTTTCAACAACAGAACAGTTTGCACTCCCCAGGGATATATGGCTAGTGCCAACTCTTCTTTCCTTTGGTCGCCAGGTGAAAACTCTTTTATTTAAACAAGTTTTTTGTTAATTTGATTTGATTTTTGAAATATCTTGTTATTCATTTGATTTAATTTTGGCTAATTTATTGGTCGTATTTATTTGGGGTGTGTATGTTTTATTATGAGATGTTATCTATTATTTTATTGTTTTTCCATTTTATCTGATTATTAATTGTTCAAGGATAGGCTAGACATGCACATGGTCAGCATGTTGTAAGTGGAGCCAGCTAGAGCCAGGGGTCAGACTAGATGGCCCGGGAGGATCCTTCTGACTCGCTCTTTTTCTATGTTTCCAAATGTTTTATAGTATTCTATATATGTTTTATGCTGTTTCAGTATGTGAAAGCCACCCAGAGAGACTTCGGCTTATGGAGCAGCACAGAAATGGAATGAAATGGACAGAGAGACAGACAGATAGATAGAATGGATATTTGTTTGGATATTTGGCATGGTTTTGTTGAGATCTATGTATAAGTGCTAAAAATCCATGTGCATGGATATAGATGCATTCATGTGCGCATATTTTAAAGATATGGAAAAAATCCTACAAGTTTTGGGGCTGTCACACTGGGGAACCCTGCATTGAAGCATGATTTATCACAACATGCAGACTGGGCATGTATTCTTTCCACTTAGTTTACAATAAACAATGACATAATTATTTTGAGTAATTTGTCATACCCCTTTTCTCTGGATATTTGTTTTACAAGAAAGACACCTATTCAGAGCCAGCATCTGTGCTGCTCCAGCCAGAAGTTATTTGTACTATCATCAGCTGCATGAGAGCCACAAGCAACCAAAGGGACAATTCAGAGATGTGCCAGGGATGTGCTCAGTGACAGCCTCACTTCCCCACTGCCAGAGTCCTTCCAGAAACTCCACTCCTCCAATTGTCAACACGATTTGATATCGACCCCTGCTGCTCTGACACTCTGCTAAGGGACGTGGAAAGCAGATGTGGCAAGCTGGAGCCAAGCAGCTGACCTCTTGCTATGAGTTTGCTGTAGATCTGGGAGTTCACCTCCTTGTCCCGCATGTAACATCGGATCTCTTCCACAGCTTCACGGACGATGGTAACGGTGAGCACAAAACCCTGAAGAAAGCAGGAATGGAGAAGATCATTAGGAGGGTGGAGAAAGATTTATTTATTTGTTTATTTGTTTTGTTTTGTTTTGTTTTGTTTGGGATTTTTGTATGCCGTCCCATTCACATAAGCCTTGGGACGGCTTCCAGCATCATAAATAAATACATATAAATACATACATATAAAATCTAGGTACATCCTGGCTCAATATTTAAAACCAATAAATAAGTTCAACTACTATTAAAATATTGTTTAAATAAAAAGGTCTTGGCCTGGCGCTGAAAAACAAATATGTTTATGGGGGATGTGACACAATTCAGGTTCCTTAACACCTCAGCTTTCATTAAAAAGCAGAAGGTTTCTAGTCTTCATGGCTGTGAAGGTAACTCTGAAACTGCATGCACAGGGACTGTTGCAATGAGAATAGGTTTCCCAGAGGTCAGTGGGGTAAAGCCTCTGTGCCCTCCTTAGCTCCTGAACAGTTAAACAGAATTATGCAAAGGAGGAAAAACTGGAAGAACTGGGCAAAATAAGAGAATCTATAAAATGTGATCAGTCAGCACAACTGTATTGGGATCATAGGATTGGATTTTTCTTGAATTGCTTGAGTGCTGGAATTTGGAGGCCACAGCTCTGAGTGTAGATAATAGGTGAATCTGCACAAACGAGGTCCGTTGAATGGGACAAGACAGACTGAACTGGGCACCTTCTGCATGGAAGGCATGCACTCCACCCCTCTTCTGTGAGCATCTCCTCTTACAGAAGGAGAGTGCCTGTGTGTGTGGCACTGTGCAGAGGAATCTGAGAGGGAGCTGCAATACCACGCAAGGTGTCACTCACTAATCTAGGAACAGCAGCATCCAGTGCACAGCAAGTGTGGCCGGTCTATTCCATTATAACCGGGGTGGGACACCTGTGGCCTTCCAGATGCTGCACAACTCCAACTACGGCCAGCCCATCCAGCAAGACCAATGATCTGGGATGACGGCTACTGTGACCAACAACATCTGGAGGGTCACACATTCTCCAGCCCTGAACGCTACTGAATTCTGTTGCAATCCAAGCACAAAATATAATTACCAGATATGCAGCCCGCAGAATATGAGGCACCTGGGCTTGATAATGACCAAGAACAGTCTTCTGAAAATGTTCAGATCCTGGGTCATGCTCCAGCTCCCAACTTATATGAGAATGTAAGAAAAGCAGCCAAGCCATGCTGGATCAGACCAGAGGCCCATCTAGTGCAGCACTCTGTACGCATGCTGGCAAACCAGCTAACTCTCTGTTCACATGCTGGCAAACCAGCTAACTCTGGACTGTTCTCCTGCCCATCCGTTCTGCTCCTTTCTGCTTGCTGGAATTCCTTGCCTCTGACCTAGGCACTGCATTGTGTCTCAGGTTACATCTTGCCTGCAGGGCTGGGTTGGGATATGCTTCCCAGGAGCATGGAGAGAGGGTGCTGAGAGACCAACTAAGACCACACTGGGACTTTGTTTACAGTTATTTCAAATGCTTAGAGAGAAAAAGCAGCATGCAAGCATAGCTTTGATGGTCTTGATCAAATGATTTTTGAAAACAATAATAAAGCCTGTTAACACTAGTTTATAGTCTGGAAGGAAAGATACTTAAATGTGTGTAAGTAGGTTAAGGAAAGCAGCTTCCCTTTCAGTGCAGAAAGCCTGGGTACCACTGGCTAAATACCTGCCTGTATTCTCCAAACATCCATCTGCATCTTCAGGAAACAACATTTGGAAACCGAGCAGCGGCTCCATGGCATGGGCCATGTCCATCTTCTCCCCAAGGGGCAACCAACACCACGGCACCAGTGGTCAGCCCCACTGCCAGCTACAAGGATGCAGATTGTACTGCATTACCCATGGAACCCAGAGTCACACATTGGAGTCCCATGTGTGAGTTTCTCTGTTCACTTTCCTCATGCTGCCACTAGCAGCAAGAGCAAACGTAACACCACCAGTATGTTCAAGGCGATATCTATTCCTAGTGCAAAGGCAGGAGTAAGGGAAACTCATAGCAACAGGATGGACAGGTGATCTATAGAAACATAGGAAGGTCCCTGCTGCTGAATCAGACTAGTGGTCCATCTAGCCCAGTCCTGTCAACATGAACCGGCAGAGGCTCTCCAGTGTTTCAGGCACCGTTCTTTCCCAGCCTTACTTGGAATAGAATCTGGGAATCTGGGATCTTCTGCCTGCAAAGTGGTGCTCTACTGTGCCTCTAACTGGATCTGCCAGTTATTTTAGTACTTTACTTCAAAGACAGCCTGGTGGCAATGCCAGAAGGTGGCAATGACAGAAGCATGGATTTAACTGCCCACATCACTAGAGTGCTTTCCTAATTAGTCCTGTCCAACTCCTTTGGAGATGCTCTCAGCCCATGGGGGCGGGTATAGAACAGTAGCTTGGAAACAACTACTATTCCAACCAACATCTCTTCCCTCCTGGGTTTAAAGGGGGTTTTTAAGAGATACACAGAGCTGCTACATATTCGCCCTGTTTGCACAGCATGATAACACAGCATGCTGATGCACACCGCCTGATCACTCTGCTTGATTTCCCCTGCAAGCAGGAACAACTGAAGCACCCAGAAACTTTCTGGCCATAGCTGGTGCATCATGACAAGCAAACTGGAGACGCTGGCTTGTGTTTTCCCAAATAAGCCAAATTTTATAGGTCATATATCATGATGAAACCATGGCTGTAAGTCTGCAGGTTGTTTGGCTGCTCACGCTTGCAGTGTAAGCAGTCAAGAAGCATTCACAAGCATGAATGCTGGCTAATTTGTAGTTAGTTGAGTCCTTTGGAAGACCCTGAACCCCTGTCTCCCACACACCAGATTTGTACCCCTTGCATAACACTGGCTCAATAATGTATTGTTAATTGTTCTAACAGGAATAATTGCTAGAATGCTTGCATGATAGTCACTTTTCCTGGTGTTAACCCAAGGGAATCTCGCTGAGCCGTACTCTTAGAAAGGCTGAGTTATGGAATAAATTACTTTCTGGATCAAGTGTCCCCCACTCACTCCCTCCCTGCACTGCTCAAGGTTCTACTTCTGAATGGCAAATCTTTATTAAATCAGTTTAAAAGTCAGACCCAAGCATCTACAATTCCCAAACACATAAAGGCTTCATAAAGTAAGCTAACAAAAACCATTTCTAAGTTCCAGCCTTACTTGGGATCTTTGAGATAAGGTTAACAAAAGACAACTTGTATTCAGACAGTGAAACTTCTCTTGAATAAATAAACCTAATATTACCTACCAGTGGAACCCAATATGTGTAAAGTGCACCAAGTCTCATTTCAGGAACAAATTGAGAACAGGCCAGAAACAAGAAGTAGAGATTGAAGAAGTACTTGAACTGGTTGAACAGAACCTATGAATAAAAGATGGAGGCAGAGTGAATGACAAGAGAAAACATTGTGGAAGCCCATCTGTATTGATATGGCTGACCTACCTTTTTAAGGCTTCTGAAAAAGGAAAACAACTTCTCAGGCTACTGTCTATGTACCATACCCTCAATGGATGGAAGGCTCCAAACTTGGAGGCTTATGTGCAACTTGTGCTTGGAATACCCAGCTTAAACTGGGTATTTTCTTGAGACAGCTGTTTTCCAGACATCTAGATTTTGTGCAGGGACTGCACTTGGCATAACTCTGTGGCCCCATCTTCCTCCCCTCCTTGCCTTCCACATGCCCCTTTCCCCCTTTCCAAGGGGATGCTTCTTCCTGCACGAGCGGCAAGGTAGGCAGGGCAGAGGTTCAGCCTTGGGGCAGAGGTTCAGCAGCCCATGAGACTATGCTTTTTGAAAGACATAGTGTTATTTTTTTAAAAATGAGGGGTAACAACACAGCCTTGTTGGGTCACATCTAAACAGAAAAAAATACACTTCAGATGCAGAAACTGGGAACACTCAGTTCTTGGGAAAGGTCTGATTCCAAAGCAATGAACTTTAATACAAAGACATTTGCACAGCACTTCTGAAGGCATGAAAAATAAAGCTATCAGCATACGTTCACCTTTCATGCCAAGGAGTTAAAAGCTGGATCCCAGCTCCTTGAGAAGGCATCACTCTGTGGCATAAATGACATTTGCAACAGTGCTATGCTTCAGCCTTAAGATACTGGCTAAGTAATGTGTGGCATACCATTTCAGGGCACACAATTCCTCCCAGCTGCATCTTCAGCTACTCTAAAATGTCTAAGCACAGAAAATTGTGCCAGAAAATGACAGTGTGGTCTGATGTGAGAGGACAGTGAAATCTACGTAAGCATTCAAGTGGGCAGAAATGCAATGTAGGATGCAACAAATTAGCTGAGCAGTGACAACAAACATTGCTATTTATTTCATTTCTATACTGCCCAATAGCTGAAGTTCCCTGGGTGAGTCACAGCAATCAAAGGCAGCCTAAAATTCGGATCTATAAAATTTAAACGTTGCTGAGGAACTTGAGCAGGTGGAAGTTTTGTACCCTGCAGACAGTTGGTCTTCCACCATGTGAACAGAGAGCTGGCCTAGATGGATCTTGGGACTGACCCAGCAGGGGTTTCTTTCATTCTTAAAACAGTTTGGACATTGAACTCAGAAAAAAGGGCAATGAAAACCTAAAACAAAATGAATCCAGTCTCTTGACAAATGAAAGTGTAAATCATCATATCTCTATAGAAACCACTGGTCAAGTTTGCATTTTCTAAAAATAGCTTACGTAGGAAGAAAATATGCCTTAGCTAGAGCTGACCAAGCCAATAGATTGTCCAGGCAAGTGTGAGGCAGACAGATTTTAGGTCCTCCAGACTAATTGAGAAAACCTTAAGAGCGAACACAATCCTCAACATATCTCAGGGCATTTCTTTTCCCTACTGCAGCCCCTTTATATGGTTCCATGACCATAGAAGGGAGCAGTTGATGTGTACAGACCATGGAAGAAGGTTGCACCTGGGAAGACTTCAAGGAGGTAACCTGATTCTGCTCCTTCCTCACCACTTGTTATCTCAGAAGTCCCAATGAGGGAAGATAGGGGGAATATCTCTACAAGTTGCCCCCAGTTTCAGCCTCTTCAGCTGAAGCAGAAATGACAGGGCGGTAAGACTGGCCTTCACCTAAGCAGAAGAACAATTTGATCCAGTTCCAGTTCCAGCTATCTTGTTTCCCTGCTCCAATTTTACTTCCTGCACTTAAGACATTAAATATCATTGGGAAAAGAACTTGATTATTCAAGGAGATGCACGCACCGCTGGTAAAAATGTAAAGAAGTTGTATTTCTGGTTGTTGATGACATTGCGTGGGTATCTCTGGTCTCTCTTTTCTGGATGGCCAAGCCAAACCGTCCGAGGCCTTGGTTCTCTTCTTCCGCAACATCTTAGGCACTCGCAACATCTGTAGAAAAGTCACAATGATAAAAACTGTAAGAACTCACATAGCCAATCCTGGACTGTCCAGGATCAAAACAAAGGCCTTTCATTTGGGCAGTGGCTAATGGTTTCCAGGAAGCCCACAGGTTGGCTAGGGGTCCACAGGATCCTTTACTCTTTGAAGATGTCCTCTGGTTAATGGCCTGTCCAGTTTAAAGGCAAAGCAGGCATATGGTTGCTTGGTCAATCTTCCCTGTATTGTATTTCTCTTTAATAAAGTGTAATTATTTCTAGATTTTCTTCTAGTCACATGAATTAACATATACAAAGTGATATCCTTTTGATAGTGATGCATTGCTTTTCTTTCTGGCAAGGTACAAGCAACTATTCTACCACAGGACAAAAGAGCAACATGCCTCTTCTTTTTGCTGTTGAACAGCTTCAGCACTTATTTTAAAAAGGAACCATGGGACTCCAACTCTTCCTAACTAACAACTACAAGTATGCACCTGAACTAATTTTTCTATTAACTATGGTGGCTAACGACCACTGACGGGCATATTTTTCAAGAATGTATCAATCCCCACTTGAAGTTTCCTAAGCCCATGACCACCACCCCTTTTTGCGATAGCAAAAGTAAATTATGTTTTAAATGACCCAAATACAACATGTACTGTATACATTTTATTGGGAGCTCAGAGTTGTAGGAAGTAAGAAAATTTTCTTCAAACCTACTAATAGATGTCTTCTTTCTTTTAAGCAAAAGGCCCAAGTGATCAGCTCAGACCTCCAGCAAAAGCGATCTGTCCCTCCCATGACAGACTGTTGGGGTTGGTGGGTAGAAAGTAGTTCCCACCCAATTTTTATTCTATCCCACCCACTGCTACTTTCAGTCCTGCTTACTACTGACTGCCGTGTGGCCTCCAACAGATAAACCTTGAGCTAATGGAAAGCAAAAACTAAGATTCCCACCCATTTGAAGAAAGGAGCCCTTTGATCTTTTGTCTCTGGTTACCCTATACCAGTGGTGGCGAACCTATGGCATGTGTGCCACAGCGGGCATGCAGAGCCCTCCCTGTCTGCATGCGAGCCAAGGTGCCCCAGCATTCGAGCACTAGATACCAGCACACATACGGGCCATGCGCATGCTCAGAAAGGAGTAGTGGTGCCAGGCGATGACATCACAAGCCGTGCCTCATTAGCTGTGACTAGTCTGAGCTTTTGCATGGCCAGTCAGCGCACTGCCAGGGATAGATAGATAGGTAGATAGATAGATAGATGGGTTTGTTTGGACTGGTTGTGAATTGTTTTTTCTAAACTAAAACCTCAGTTTTCAGGCTTTATTGCAGTGTTGGCACTTTTCGATAAATAAGGAGGTTTTGGGTTGCAGTTTGGACAGTTTGGTCTCTAAAAGGTTCACCATCACTGGGTTAAGGTTAGAAAAATGAGGTGTCCTGGCATGAGTTCGATGGTTGGAACGTGCTTAGAATGTTGAGTTGTGCAGCAAAAGCTACTCAAGGAAGACTTTTTCAAAATTGCCCTCTTTTCAATGGAACTTTTGCCCTATATTAAGGTTAGGGGTGTGCACCAGGGCAGGTTTAGGGTTAGAAAAACAAGGTGTTCTGGCATGCTTTTGATGGTTGGAATGTGTTTAGAATGGGCAGAAATGTTGAACTCTGCAGAAATAGCTACTCAACAAAGACTTTTTCATAATCACCCATTTCAATGCTATTTTACCCCTATATTTGGATTAGAGGATTGTACCAGGATAGGGTTATGCCAGTGGTGGCGAACCTATGGCACACGTGCCACAGCGGGCACACAGAGCCCTCTCTGTCGGCATGCGATCCATGTCGCCCCAGCATCGCCTCAGCAGCCGAGCATCGGATAACAGCACACATAGGGGCCATGCGCATGCTCAGAAAGGAGTGGCGGCACCTGATGATGACATCACAAGCCGCGACTCATTAGCCATCACTCGTCTGAGCTTTCACATGGCCAGTCAGTGTGCTGCCAAGCATATATATACATACATACATATGTACGTACGTATGTACGTACGTACATACATTCATACATACATATATATTTGCTTGGCCTGGCTGTGAGGTTTTTTTTCTAAACTAAAACCTTAGTTTTCAGGTTTTATTGTAGTGTTGGCACTTTGCAATAAATAAGTGGGATTTGGGTTGCAATTTGGGCACTCGGTCTCTAAAAGGTTCACCATCACTCCCTATATGAACGTAGCGCTCATAATATACATCTAAATATACAAAGGAATCCCTAACAAATATTTAGTGGGTTCACAGCCAAACTAAAGCAGCACAAGGAATTTTTGTGGCAACCAAGATTTCTGACCGACTGCTGTACCTTTCAAAAGTCACAAGGGCTTCCCTAGCAAAGCAGAAGCAAAATGAAGAGAGGCGTTGACTCTTCCCTGCACCTCTTTCCGTTCAAGGCTTAGCAACCAGCCAGAGTTGGGCCAGCTTCCCAGCTGGTTACCGCTCCATTCATCACAGTTTACCCAGTATGCTTCTGGGCCATTCTGCAGTACTTCCTAGCTCAGCATTGCCCCATCCTGGCATTCTCCAGATCTTACAAACAACAACTCCCAATGTTCCTGACCATTAGTCATGCTGGCTGAGTCTGAGAGGACCTGATGTCCAAGATATCAGAGCACCAGGTTGGGGAAAGCTGGCACACCTGTTCCATCATTCCTCCTTAATGGACTTTCTATGGTAAGAAAGAGAAAAGCAGTGGTAGAAAAACATGGAAGGGCTGGAAAGAGAAGATGACAATGTCTGAACCTGCCTGGTTTGGTGGATGAAGCAGGACGACGGCACAAACACACACACACACTGTGGAAGCACCTCAGCTGCTTGTGTGCACTTCAACCTGAGCTGGCACTTTGCTTCCCTAACTGACCATTATTTCCCAGTCCAGGTATGATCCTGAGAAGGCTCAGACCAGAACAGGAGGAATAGCCACAATGTATTTTCACTGTATTTTGTGGTATTTCCCCACAGCACCCTGGAGCGCTTAATCCTTGAAATACCCTTCAGTGTTCTTGCTTAATTCTCCTGATCTTCTGCCAGGTTTTGCAGAACGCATTTGAAAATTATGTCCTAAAACAAGTGCTTAGGGGTAGTCATGTTGGACTATTGCAGCAAAAACAGAGTAAGATCACTTACAGATGGAGAAATATACTGTGGCATAAGCATTCATTGGCCAACCTCCAGAGTGTCAGACACACAAAGTGGTCCAGTCAGTCGGTAGATGTATCGGGAAGTCACACACTTCCCTAAGTGGATATGATTCACTCCCAGTTAGGAGTCACTGTTACTGAATGAGCATAGCAAGACAGCAACAGTATGCAAAAAGGAAATCAAGAGGGATATTTAATACTTGTAATAAGTTAGGAGCTCCCACTCTCTTCTGAGTCCAAGTTCTACAGTGCTAAATTTGCCAATAAATTCCAATGCAGAGACTTTATATTCTGCCTTCAAAACATTTGTGTTGATGTTTGCTCACTTTTAAGTTCTGTTCCATACCGTTCTGGGCTACCTGGGAGATTAAACTTAACCATATATTGCTTCTTTTGCAATGCTTCTGTTTCTGTGAGCCATGAAAGATATCACGGGTGTCCACAGGTTTCGGATCCTTTACAGTCCCTATTCTATTCTAGGGCAAAGGAGGCAATACAAGGAGGAACTTCCAGGTCATAGGTCACCCTGTTTCAAATCATGCAGGCACTTATTGTGCTTCTTTAACACTACTGATGTGTGAATAGCTATGCAGGTGCTTAAAGTCAAGCCCTTGATTACCCTACTCAATTTCACTACCGCATTTTCAAGACTATCCTCATAGCCTAACGGGAACTGAACTTTGAAGTGGAGCTGTCCCCATCATCCTCTAGCAAGGGTAGGGAATATGGGAGCTTCCAGAAGCTGTTGGACCACAGTTCCCTCAAAACCAGCCCCAGGTCCTGGCAGCCAGAACAGTGGAATTTCTCCACTCTAGTTCTACTGACCTTTCTACTTTCTACCTCTCCAGCATAGCACTAATAATCTGCTCATTGTGCTGAGTGTCCAAAGATCTGTAGGCCAAGTGCACTAATCCAAAACTGGCAGTAGTAGAACAGCAGTCCTTGGACTTCACCCCTTCCCAAACCCATGCAGAGGCTCCACAAGGACAAAGCAGAATCTCTTCTGTTCATTTCCTCACCCTATGAGAATGAAAAGCCAAGGAAAGGCACAGTCACCTGCATGAAGGCAGGATGGTTCAGAAAGTCTTTGCTTGTCCAGTAAATACTTTCCTCTGTATTTGCAGATAAGGGAGCAAGCCTCCATGTGCCTCAGTTCATATCACTTCCTGTCACTGCTCATGTGCACCCAGTAAACCATTCCACTGGCTCAAGGACTTTAAAACAGCTTTAAATACACACAGCAAAAGGTCTTACCCTGATTTTTATACCTGCTTGGTGTGATCAGACAACACACTCAACTCTGAATCTAACGACATAGCCAAGGGTAAGCTGACCTCTAACATCAAGAGTTTAACATCACTGCAGTTCAAATATTTATTTATTTATTTATTTATTAAAACATTTCTATGCCGCCCCATTCGCCGAAACCTCGGGGCGGCTCACAACATTAGGTTAAAATACAAGAAATTATATATTTGTATAATTCTGAAACATGTCCTCAGAGCACACATACAGGTCACATAAAGCACTCTCTCCCTTGTGATTCCACCTGCTATATATCCAGAAACTTACCTTACCCTGGCCCTCAACCTAGCCCTTCTAGTTCCTCTCCTGCCTCAGCTCCCAGGAGCAGATCACTGAGCCATTGATTTGCACAGAATGCCATTGCTCTATTAAGAATGTAAATAGCTGTTCGTTTATCCTCTTAAAAACTATGGACCCCATTCAAGTCTGCCTTCCTGACAATCAATCAAGTGCCAGAAGAAGCCGATGGGTGCCTGGCCACATGCCCATCATTCCTTGAACAAGGGCTGATAAAG